AGGAAGGTTCACTAGCTTCTTCATCAAGCTAGAATCTCAGGGCCCGAGCCTTAGGCTGATGTATGCAACGTCAGGTCCGCGGCTAACAAAGCCCCCCTCATTTGTGAACTAATTCAGGAGGGGAAAGCGGACCTGGCGGGTATTACAGAGACCTGGTTGGGCCATGAAGGGGGGGTCCCCCTTGTAGAGATGTGCCCACCAGGTTTCCGTGCATTCCATCAGTCAAGGGCACAGGGTAGGGGTGGAGGGGTGGCGGTTATTATAAAGGAGAGTTTTGATCCTAGGGAGACCACTGTTCCTCACTCAGCCGGATGTGAGTCCCTCCTCGTGAAATGGGGTCATGGGTTACAGATGGGCCTGCTGATCACATACCTGGCTCCCTGCCACGTAGCAGCAGCCCTGCCTGAGCTCCTCAACATAATAGCTGGGGTGGCAGTTGAGACTCCTAGGCTTCTGGTCATGGGAGATTTCAGCCTGCCGTCCATCGGTGAAAAGTCTGAGGTAGCTCGGGAGTTCTTGGCTTCCATGATGGCCATGGACCTGACCCAGTTAGTTCATGGCCCTACTCACACAGGGACACACACTCTGGACTTGGTTTTTGTATCTGATCAGTGGTTGAATGGTCTAGATATAGGGGATATAGTCATCGAACCCTTGTCATGGTCAGACCATTCTCTCCTTAGGCTTGACTTTCTGTCCGCTACACCCCACTGCAGGGAGGCAGAACCGATTAAGTAGTTCCCCCCCAGGCGCCTGATGGATCCTGATAGATTCCAGATGGAACTTGGGCCATTTCCTGAGACTCTAGCTCACAACTCGATTGAAGACCTGGCAGCAGACTGGGATAGGATGGCTGCTGGTGCTTTGGATCGGGTTGTGCCTTTGCGGCCTCTGACCCAGCGTCGAAGTCGCCCAGCTCCTTGGTTTTCCGAGGAGCTGAGGGAAATGAAGTGCCGGAAAAGACGCCTGGAGAGTAGTTGGAGAGCCAGTCGTTCCGAATCTGACTGAACACTGGTGAGGTCCTATATTAAGACCTACTTAGTGGCGATAGCAGCGGCAAAATATAACTATTTTTCCACTATTATTGCATCGGCAGATAATTGCCCAGCCGCCTTGTTTAGGGTGACTCGCTCCCTTCTCCACCTGGGAGCACGGGAAGACCCCTTACAAGGTTGAGCTGCGGATTTTGCATAATATCTGCACGATAAAATCGCTCAAATTCAGGAAGACTTGGACTCTGACTGGGTAGGTTCAGACGGAGTGATGGAGGCGGATCTTGAGGATATTATTTGGGATGAATTTGACCCTGTGATCCCTGAAGATGTGGACAGATTACTGGGGAAGTTGAACATGACCACATGTTTATTGGACCCGTGTCCTCCTGGTTGATACTGGCTTCCCAAGAGGTTACACGAGGCTGGCTCCAGAGGATTATAAACGCTTCTCTGAGTGAGGGTTTCTTGCCTTCCACCTTGAAAGAGGCAGTGGTGAGGCCTCTCCTCAAGAAGCCCTCTCTGGACCCAGCTGTTCTAGCAAAATACCATCCTGTCTCCAACCTTCGCTTTGTGGCTAAGGTTGTTGAGAGTGTGGTGGCACAGCAACTCCCGCAGTACCTGGATGAAACTGTCTATCTAGATCCGTTCCAGTCCGGCTTCAGGCCTGGTTACAGCACTGAAACGGCATTGGTCGCATTGGTTGATGATCTCTGGAGTGCTCGAGATAGGGGCTGCTCCTCTATCCTGGTTCTATTAGATCTCTCAACGGCTTTTGACACTATCGACCATGGTATCTTGCTGCGCCGACTGGAAGGGCTGGGAGTGAGAGGCACTGTTCTACGGTGGTTCTCCTCCTATCTCTCCGACCAGTCGCAGTCTGTGTTGGAAAGAGGGCAGAGGTCAACTTCAAGACACCTTGCTTGTGGGGTACCGCAGGGGTCGATCCTTTCACCTCTTCTGTTCAACATTTATGTGAAGCCGCTGGGTGAGATCATCTGTGGTTTTGGGGTGCAGTGCCATCTTTACGCTGATGATACTCAGCTGTACATCTCCACCCCAGACCACCCCAATGATGCCCTTGCAGTGATGTCCCAGTGCCTCGAGGCCGTGCAGACTTGGATGGGAAGAAGCAGGCTCCGACTCAACCCTTCCAAGACCGAGTGGCTGTAGCTGCCGGCATCCCGATATAGCCAGCTGATACTATTGTTGACTATTGGGGGTGAGACATTGGCCCTCATGGAGAGGGCTCGCAACTTGGGTGTCCTCCTGGACATGCGGCTGTCTTTATCAGGTTCGCCTGATTCGCCAGTTGTGACCCTTTCTAGATCGGGACTCCTTATGCACAGTCACTCATGCCCTCGTCACTTCTCAACTGGACTACTGTAATGCTCTCTACATGGGGCTCCCCTTGAGGTGCACGCAGAGGCCCCAACTGGTCCAGAATGCGGCTGTGCAGGTGATATTGGGAGCGACATGGCGCTACATGTAACACCTCTCCTACGCGAGCTGCACTGGCTCCCAGTGGCCTTCCGAGTGTGCTTCAAGGTGTTGGTTCTTACCTTTAAAGAGCTCCATGGCTTAGGACCTAGGTACCTACGAGACCACCTTCTGCAACCGATAACCTCCCACCAACCAGTACGCTCCCACAGAGTGGGCCTTCTCAGGGTGCCGTCACTTAAGCAATGTCGACTGGTGGTTTCCAGGGGGAGAGCCTTCTCTGTGGGGGCACCTACCCTTTGGAACAGGATACCCCCAGGGATACGAATGATCCCAGATCTCCGTACTTTCCGTCGTGCACTTAAGACCTTTCTGTTTCACCAAACCGGGCTGGCATAAATTTTTCTAATTGTCTAAATTTTATGCTAGAAGATCTTAACTTAACTGATGAGCCAAATTGGCTTAATTATTTTAAATTGCTTCTATTTCACATTTTTATATATATGTTTATTTTGACTGTTCACCACCCTGAGTCCTTCGGGAGAAGGGCGGTATAAAAATTAATTAATTAATTAATTAATTAATTAAATAAATAAATAAATAAATAAATAAAATAAGCAAGGAATCTTCCCTTAGGCTTTCAATGACTAATCAGCACTTTGCATTGGTCTGAAAGCATGCTGGCAGTTGATGCTATGACTTCACAACTGATGCTATTTCGGGCTGGCAGGATATGTCCACTAGTAGCTAGTTTAGTTGTTGCACCCTGCACCAGCTGGAGCTTCTTGGTCATTTCCTGAAGCAGCCCCATATGACAGTGGTCCATGTGGGTTGCAGTCAGGACATGAGTTTATTGTCAACCAGTAACTGTTTAGTGCCTGTATATTTTGGTTAAATTATTAATTGAATTAATAATTCCATTTTATTTGTTTGACTTGTTACTTACATTTCCATGCCGTTTCGCTCCAACATTTCTCGGGTATTGTTTACCCAGTGGAAATACAAGTGTGACTTGTACAAAGTCACGACAAACACAAGTCAAATGTGACCCTTATTGGGAGATGTAAAAATCAGAAGAATTGGTGCTGGCTGGCTTTGGCATCATTAGGCTGATCTGGTTGGAAATGGAAATGGTTGTGTGTATACACACACACAAACACATGCACACACCCCTACCTACCTCCTGGTAGAAAGCAAAGAAGAGAAAGGAAACTGGATGGAAGAAGAAAGGATAGCTATATTGGGAAGGAAAGAAAAGGGAAAGGAGAGAATGAAACCAGATGGTGATGGGGCAAAAGAAAAAAGTAAGTCGGGAGCAAGAAAGAAAAAGAGATGTATCTAGATTAGGAGATGACCACGTTGTGACCCAAAGGATGGGTCAAATGCCTCATCAGTCTCAAGTACTTTTGCACTCACAAGAGTGAGTCCAGCCCACCTGGAATTCCATTGACTCCTTTTAGATCAGTAGTTCTTAACCTTCCTAATGCCGCGACCCTTTAATACAGTTCCTTGTGTTGTGGTGACCCCATAAAATTATTCCTAAAACCATTGAAAATATATGTTTTCCGATGGTCTTAGGCGGCCCCTGTGAAAGGGTCGTTCGACTCCCAAAGGGGTTGCGACCCACAGGTTGAGAACCACTGTTTTAGATGAAAGCTATTCTCCTCAGCCACAGCCATGGCCACAGCCTGATCTGTCTTGGTGAAAGTTGGTAAGGAGGAAGAAACTTACGAAGGCAGCCATAGAATCAAGAGAAAAACATACATTATATAGCCAAAGAAAACGTAAGTGTCTTATAAATTCTGCTTGAACCTGAAAAAAAAAAGACAACTTAAAGCAATCCTGTATCTAGTTCTGGGCTGTTTAGTTAGGACTAACTGCTCTTACATATTTATATATTATAAGATAATTTATATAATGTAACAAAGAGGAAATTGTAGCTGTGAAAGCTGAAAAAAAAGAATGGCAAACTGCCACATGCAGCGCCTCACTTGGATGTGTCTGGAGTCTTGGAAGCTTGACTACCCTACGTTCTCCTACAAATGGACCTTGAGCTTGTTTGGAGGTTCTAGCAGGGGAGCGCAGCTATCGTATACCCTTGACCGAAGATCGGTACACTCCTTCTATCTGGGATGGTCGTCCTCTTCCACCGAGCGCGCAGCTTCGGGAGGGACGCACATGGAGCGGTGAGGGAGGAAGGGGACACCCGCCTAGCCAGCCAGATCAGCCGAATCAACCCTGGCGATCAATGGGGTGACAGATGTCGCAGCCAGATCGCCCTCACATCCAAAGAAAGAAGGAGGCCTCGTACTTATATGAAGAATAAAATACTCCTACCTTCGAGGTTATGGTGGTACTAACTTGGCAGGTTTTAAAAATAAAATATATAGTTATTCGTGCGTTGGCAAAAAGACACCGCGAACAAACAGCGATGATTGTGACTTGCAAAATCCGTTTCAGCCGTCCTTAAACGCATTCCCAAAAGGCTTTGAGAAAAATGCAAAGTAACCGTCTTAAGCACCTCCTCCTGGAGGCTCATCCCCCGCCCCCGGCTCCAATCTGCTGCGGCGGAGGCGGGAGCCGGCTCGGAATAAATGGGATCTGCGGCGGCTCCCGAAAGTTGAGCAGAAGCGCGAAGGAGAGGCGGCTCTTGCGTCTCCGTTCTAAGACTGGTCGGAAGCAGAGGCTGGGAAGGCTTGGGAAGGGACCCGCGAGGTGCTCTTCTGCTTGGAGAGGTATTTGATCCTATGGAGAAGTCAAGCACTATGAATGGGCTTGAGAAGGATGATGGCTTGCTTGCGATCGCTAGCTGCGATCGCTTGCTACACAGTTGCTTGATTTGATCGTGGGAAGTGTTTTGTTTGAGCGAAGGTAATTCTTTTTTTGGGGGGGCGGTGAGAGGGAGCTGCAAAAAACAGAACTTAGCCGGGGGGCTTCATCCCTTTGGGCGTCCCAACAGGGCGGAGGGTTTCTGAATTAGGCTTTGCAATCCGAAGTGATCATGGGACGGATCTCTGTGTGTAAAAGTGAAGGGGGCGGACCACGGTGCAGACACCCGAGTGCCTTCGCGACAATCGGCAGGAGTTTTGAAAACTTTTTTGCTTAGAGTCATCCTTTGGCTGATTTCTCCCCGTCTCCCACTTCTTTCTTAAGAATTCCCTGGGCACCGAATCGGTTCAAAAGAAGTGAAATTTCGTTTCTGAAAGAGAAGAGAGGAACTAGGCTGGGTTTTTAGTGGAAAGACAGCACTGTATAATTGGTTTTATCAGTTTCCCCAAAGCAAGCACCGCCTGTGTTTTATAATATTCTTTTTTTTTAATGAAGTGAGCGATGACCTTTGTTTGCAATGCTCAGTTTAGCATTCCATTTAGAACGGAATTTACCCTTCTGTTCCCTCTGACTGCCCACATAATTTCAGTTGAAGTTCGTAAAAGACCCTGAGATGCGTCAAGACTTTTTGTTCCTGTGTTCTCTCTCCTCGTAAAGAATACAGTAGTTAAGATCTTATCTGGAGCTTTGTAGATACCACACTGGCTATGCTCAGCCCTGCAGTCAAATTACTGTAGAGGTTACACACAAAATCATCTTTAGTTGCTCCCCATAAAACAGCTAATAGGGCTTCAAACAGTTCAATACTTTGGCCTTTCTAGTTTGGCAAAAGAAGATATTTGCATATTTCTACAGCCTGGCAACCAATTCTAAAAATAAATGCAATTTCATGAGTTAGTTCTTTCCATTGCCCTCACTCTTGTCCATGAAGATGATAGGAGCAAAGCAAACATCGGCAGGCCAAGTGAGAGACTTCAGATCTCCTTTTCAGAACTTCCTTTCTGCTTGTGAATCCTCCTGCATCTGATCTTTAGCTTTCTTTTTTTTTAAAGCTTCAATAGCCACCCCTTCCACTCAGATGGGAATGGAAGTAGTTTGTCTCACAGAACCCTGGCACTCCTGTTTCCAATCTTAAAATAACCTTTTCCCCGTCAAGAGAAAATTGTACTTTTAAAAATGAGTCATTTTTTTCCAGTGACTGGATCTTAAGAGGATTTTCTGAGGCTCCCCTGGACCTTAGTAGTGGCAGACCACTGATTACTGCCTTAAAGTTTCTGCTGCTTTGCCACCTCGTTGTCATAAGTATCACAATTGTAATACTTGTTCATTGTTCTTCAGAAATTATGTAACTGGATTGATTGATTGATTCAGAGCCTCCCATCTTACATATGTAACTCTGGGCAGCTGATACAATTGAAAACCAAAAAGGAATAAAGAATTATAACTCAATAATTAAAAACTATTAAGGAAAAAAATTAAAGCAATTCAAAATGTAATTTTCCAGAGCGGATAATCTGTATAATATCTAACAATACAACTAGCAAACTGGTGCCATAAAAACATTTTCCCCACCCTCAGGCCTGAAGACCAAATCATGCCTTAAAGAGTCTTTCAAAAGGCCAATAAGGTGGAGGCCTGCAGCAGAACAGGTTCTCCTCCTGGATCCCATCAGATGACATTCCTTTGTTAATGGGACCTGTAGAATGCCTTTCCTGCTAACCCTGATAGGAAGGGTAGATGTAATTGAGGAGAGATGGTTTCGCAGATAACCTGGCCCTATGCTAGGGGATTACCGGCTTCTTGAATTGAGCCTGGAAGCAAACTGGCAACCAGTGCAACTTGTAGAACAAAGGTGTTATCAGGCACTGATCAAGGAGTACATATAACTATCCCCTACTACTGCATTTTGCACCAGATTGTCGGGAGAGATTGGGTGAGCCAGGGGCAAGAGTCAAGCGGGTAATGAGTCTGAGAAGATGAATGTTAGATGTGAACAACAAGATTTTCCACACATGAAGAGTTTGATTAGCTATTTTATTGCTCATGCCTTTTACACAGAAATCTTCCCAGATTGGTAATTTGCATCTGGGTCAGACTAGATATGGTTCATTCAAGAGGGGGAAAGGGGGTCAGACTTTGCCCTCTTGTACCTACATAAGGATTCCAGACTAATTCCCTGCTTGACTTCTCCCCCTGGCTTGCCAGTCTCTCTCTGAGACAGTTATAGCTTGCAGATGTTCTTCAAGGGCAGCCCTATGAACAGCATGCTAGAGTAATCCATTCTGGAGAGGACCAAGGCATGAGTGACTCCGAATAGAAGTTCTCAATCCAGGAACAGGTGCAACTGTGCACAACCTGAAATTGTGCAAAGCCCTTCCTAGCAATGTTTGCCACTTGCTCTTCAGACAGGAGTTATGAATTCAGAAAGACCCACAGATTGTGCAGCAGATCTGTTTGGGACAGTACAAACCTATTCAGTACCATGGACCCCAAACCCAAAGCCATTCAGTCTTGCCAGGATTGAGCTGAAGCTTATTGTTCCCCATCCAAATCCACACAGATACTAGGACAGGATATCAACAACATCCCTTAGTTTGCCAGGTTGGTGATGTACAACTGGGTATCATCGGCATACTCACCCAGTGGTTTTACGTAGAAGTTCAAGAGGAATGGAGAGAATACTGAGCTTCGCATCACCCCACAGAGTAGGGATCGAGGGACCTCTCATTCTGATCAACACTGACTGAAACTAGCCCTGAGAGAAAGAAGAGAACTAGCACAATACATTGCCTCTCACCCCCAACCCTGGTCCAGAAGGATACCATCATTTCAGCAATACTGAAAGCCATCAAGAAGTCAAGAAGAGCAAGGATGAATGCAGTATTCCCATTCTGCTCTCAATAGAGGTTATCCAAAAATACAACTAATGTCTTTTCAGTCTCTGAAAAGGAAAGGTTGGATACAGGATGAAAATTGTCCAGTATGGTGGGATCCAGTGATAGCTTCTTGAGGACACAATAAGGGTGGAGATGTATTTATGTTTTACCACCTTTACCTCTGCAAGGTAAGCCTTAATAGTGGCTTGGTCACATTTACCCCTTGTTGACTTCCAGAGGCACACTAGATGTCTCTTAGCTTATTTCATTACCTTCTGTAAACCACGGGGAATGGCAGGATCTGTGAGAAAGGAGAGGCCACATAGGCATGACCTGATCCACGTCCTCAGCTAGGTTATGCAGCACACCATCAGGAACAACCCCCTTACTACTTACCTTTACTACCAGTTCGTAATGGGTATCAATTATGATGTCCGGTTGGGTGGGTGAGGCCTCCTGCTGCTTTTACTACTGGTTCGCAAGAACCGGACAGAACCGGGAGCAACCCACCACTGCCCTGTTCCCTTTGGGACTTGTCAGGGTCTATCAGTTGTCAGGGCATATAAATAAAAAATGTCTAACTTCCCACTTGGGGAGGGCAGCACCAGAGAATCTCTTGATTTTTAGGGAGTAATCAAACCATAGATAGGAGCTATGGTTTGATCACTTTTGAGTAACATAAAGATAGGAGCTATCCCCCCAATTCTGGATCCATTGCAAGAAGAAGAAAACCAGTTCAAGTGTGCATCCAGCCCTTTAGAACAGGGATCTCCAAACTTGGCAACTTTAAGACCCGTGGGCTGAGGAATTCTGGGAGTTGAAGTCCTTAAGTCTTAAAGTTGCCAAGTTTGAAGACCCCTGCTGTAGAAAAGTAGATTAAAATCCTTTCCTTTTTTTTTCTTATACTTGTTTCAAAGGGAGTTTCTGCTTTTCCTGCAAAATCTGTAAGGAAAAAGAACTGGAGGAAGTATTTACCTGGCTTAGCTAGAAATTTACTAGAATTTCTAGCTAAGCTTTCCAAGTTAAGTTCATACATTTTTATGCATTCTCCCTTCCTTGTTATCTAGGTACGTCTCTGCCAAGCTTTGTAAATCAGTGGGCTGTTGTCATACCTTTCTTATCAGAGAGCTCTAGGGGAATGAATTTGCTTTCCAGTCATTCAGTCTAGATGGGGCTTTAGAAAATGGCGGGCGGGTTGTCTTTTTTGTGACATTTATGCTAGATTGATTAGATGATCAATCAAATTATCTGTAATAATTTGGTTATAATTTGAGATCGGCTGGCTGATGAACATTGCTGTGAGTTGCAGGAGAGGGAAATGTATTTTTCCCTTTCCTGAATCATTCCTATTCATTCCGGATTCGGAAAGACAGGGAATTTCAAGGACTTTCAGGAGGGCAGCCGTAATTCATCTGGACATATGCCAGTTCTCAACATCATGGTAATGGGTCAGGGTGGATAAAAATCAATGATTTTTTTAAAAAAATCAAAAAAATCAGATTTTTTTTATTTAAATCGGATTTTTTTGATTTTTATCGAATTTATTTTAATAAAATACTTTTGGGGTAAAAATCTATCGTAAGATAGTTTTCTATTTAAGATACATAAATAATTTAGTTTATTCAGCATGAAATGGAGCTTAGTTATGTAGCATGAGGCTGTATATTCTGCAACACTGGGACTATCGGTGAGTCAACAGTGGGTCAAAGGAGTAGCAGAGATGACAGTTGCTCTTTAAAAATTATGATTTAAATCGAGTTGATTTAAATCAAGCCTTTTTACTAATGATTTAAATCATGATTTAAATTGTGATTTAAATCAACTCGATTTAAATCAAATCCACTCTGTAATGGGTTGAGTCTCCGACTTGAACACATGCAAAAAGCCTCGGTTTGCATTGCTTAAGTATTACAACACATTTGAAGAACATACATTTCACCCACTAAAAACCAGAGGTTCAGATTCCTATGCTCAGTTTAGAAAAGGCTACTAAAAAGTAGGTGTTTGACCGTGTGGAGATTTAATCAAGTCTTGCAAAAGAGATCGCTTTGAGATGGGTCAGCCCTAAATCCAGATCAGAACAATTATAGTTGGGTTAAATGAAGTTCACACAGAATATTATGTCATATGTTGACCCAGAGGCCTGGATCAAGTGAGAAGTAAATTACTTGGACATTACTTCTGAATTAGCAGTTGATTTATTGAGACCCAATTCTGGGTTAGCACAATGTTGCATTAACTGCTGTTTTCTACCAGGTTTCTCTGAATATGGAAATATGTAAACTGTTTTGTATGCTAGCATTGTGGTTATGTAAGTAAGAGTGTACTTATTGAACTGCCCTGCATTCTGTTAATGTAAATGAAGCGGGCTCTGATAGATGACCACTGGATAACTTTCTATTCACTCTATTCTAAAAAGCAATGCACCCGGTTGGAAAAAGTACAAACTCAGCCAAAATCCTTTTGGTTCCTCTAGGAGGCCTCTAAGTTGTCAGAAGAAAGGAACATTCTAATGACATACAGCTTAAAGGTTGGTTAGGTCAAGGGGATCCACATGAGTTAAAAGTTGTCTATCATCAGAAGATGATTTGAGTCTATGCTTCAGTAATCTACAAAAAGAATTATAACTGTTGGCAAAGAATAAAATGAAACTAATTAGGAAGTGTCAATTAAAAATGGCAAATGTATATGATCACATAAACTGCTGAGTTAACAGAATCCTTTGTCTAGAAGGGTATAAAACCATTGTACCTAATTTCTGTCTTTGTTCAACGCTTCATGTACAGAGCTTTGAACCTATTGCGCAATATACAAATTGTCTCTCATTAACCCAAAAGTTGTGTTGGTCTTATTAAATCCACAACACTGTCAAACCACAGATTTTCCTGTACTGGGAGCTATGGGACTGGGACTTATGCCTCCTGCATAAACAAATCAAAGATTATGTTAAGTGGTATCAGTATATCTATTAATAAAACTATATTTCAGACGTGTGTCTGATGAAATATCTTGACCTGATCAATTAGCTTTACTCTGCCCTGCCTTTCCTGTGTTCATGCAACAGAATGGTCTCTTCATTACTTTTTGTTCTTTGTTTTGTGCCCTCCTCAGGCCCCCATCCCAGGAGATTAAGAAACGATGGCCGAGAAACCTAAATTGTATTATTTTAATGGACGAGGCCGAATGGAACAGATACGGTGGTTGTTAGCAGCTGCTGGTGTAGAGGTCTGTGTTTCCTTATTTATAGACGCAGAAGGCTGTTGGAATATTTTTGCCAAATTTTTTTTTCTCCGAAAAAAAACTTTCTGAGCAATTTGGTGAACTGGTTGTTGAAGAAATCATTAGGGCAGAGAACCAGTTGTTAAATTATTTGAATCCCACCACTGGATGGAGGTAACATCGTGGGGTTGCGGCAGGGGGGAAAATGGTGTTACAAGGGCATGTCTGTGCCATGGAGAAAGATCAAAAGTCATGATTTGAAGTTCTAATCTTGGGGGATGGATGGCAAAGCCTTCAAAATTGCTCAAAATTTAAGCCAAGATTTCTCACACTAGAGAGCTTTGTTGTAGAGAGTGAGAGGGTAGCTACAACATTTCCAAGCTTTGGGGTGGGAGCTGAGAACATGTATTGGCTACACTTGCAATATCACTGCTGAAAAGCAGTTGCTCATTACCAAAATGGTAGCCAAGGCAACATATATATATATATATATATATATATATATATATATATATATATATATATTGTATATATGTATATATGTATATATATATATATGTTTACACACACACACACACACACACACACACACACACACACACATATATACTTTTTCTCTCGTAGTCCTGTATGAGTGGCTTTTAAAGCTCAAGTGATATTTTCTGTCCTCAGTTTGTTGAAATTTCAAGTTTATACCTAAAGTGTTAGAAATATTTTGTAAAGTCCCCAATACAAGTAATGCTCTACTTACGACATAATTGAGCCAAAAATTTTATGTACAGTAGCTAAGCGAGACAGGTGTTAAGTGAGTTTTGCCCCATTTTATGACCTTTCTTACCACAGTTGTTAAGGGAATCACTTAAGTGGTTAAGTGAGTAACATGGCTGTTAAGTGAATCTGGCTTCTCCAATGACATTGCTTGTCAGAAGGTTGCAAAAGGGGATCGCATGACTCCGTACACTGCAACCGTCATAAACATGAGTCACTTGCCAAGCACCTGAATTTTAATCATGTGACCATGGGAATGCTGCAATGGTCATAAGTGTGAAAAACGGTCATAGGTCACTTTTTAAAGTGCCGTTGTAATGTCGAATGGTCACTAAATGAACTGTTGTAAGTCGAGGACTACCTGTACATTAGGATTTTCCTGAAGGTTTATGAGCTATACAAAAGACTTGAGAGTGGAGTGAAATGGGCCATGATATGTGCAGTCTTTCTTCTATTATTCAGTAATGCGTTTAACAGTGGCAATTTTGAGGATCGTGTAAGAGGCTGAAAAGTAGGATATGCATTTTTAACTCCACAGTACATGATTTACAAAATTAATCACGCACAATTGCATCTTTTTGTCTTGTAATGCGTGTACTTTATTACTGTAGCTTTTTCTAGCTAATTGTGTGGATCTGACTTGCATAATCCAAAAAGTGAATATCAGAACTCTTGGTTGTACTGCAGAGGAAAGAGTCAGATTTCAAGGCACTTGAATTACCGTATTTTTCGGAGTATAAGACGCACCAGACTATAAGACGCACCTACCTTTTTTGGTGAGGAAAACAAGAAAAAGAAATCTGCCTCCCAGCAATTTTGCCTCATTTCAGCAAACAGCCTGCTTTACTTTCATGTTCATTTTCAGCATAGTTTGATTAGCACAAGGGAAAAAAAAAAATCGGCTCCAGCAATTTACCTCCTAGCAGCAAGCAGCAGAGGCCGCGCAAAACAGCTGAGATCAAAACAGCTGAGAGTCAGGAGGCCGATCCAATCAACTTGTGCTAATTAGGCTGTCCTAAAGCTGAAATGAGCTGTTTCTTCTTGCTGTTTGCTGCAAGGTGGTAACTGCTGGGAGGCAGAGGCCAAAGGGTTACAGTGGGTGGCCAGTGGGTGGGCAGGGCTACATTCAGTGTATAAGACGCACCTAAATTTTCACCCCCTTTTAGGGGGAAAAAGGTGTGTTTTATATTCCGAAAAATATGGTACTACATGAAACTTTGTTTTTTTTTAAAAAAAAAAAATCTATTAGCTAGTCTTGCCTAATTTCAAGTATAATTCAGATAAAAATTGGCTTGCACAAACCCGGCTTACTAAAAGTTACTTTTTTCAAATATACAATACTCAGTATAAATATACAAGCTTCCCTAAGAGATAATTCAGTTCTGTTCTGAGGTATTTGATATTCAGATACGGTTATTTGTAGGCAAAAGTTCAGTGATTCTTCTCAGTGGATTGCTGAGTTGAGTGGATTGCTATGTGGATTGCTACTGTATGAACTGAGTTCTAGAATTCTGAAAACAATTCCCTTTGCATCTTTTTTTCTGTCTTTTTAGTTTGAAGAGGAATTTTTGGAGACCCGAGAACAATATGAGAAGCTGCTTCAAGGTTATTTGTGATGAAACTGCAAATATTTGGTTGTACCAATGGCACTAAATTTCTACTTGGATGCAAACAAACAGATGTTGTAATTCTTGAGTGATGGAGTAGAGCTACAATATGGCCTTGTTCCTGAAGAACAATGCATAATAAAAAATGGTTACCTTTTTACTCAGGCATAATCCATCATGACCCAGTGCTGGGTCGGGTTGGGAAGCTGTTGGGAAGGTTGGGAAGCTGTGACTGCCTAAGGTTGGGAAGCTGTGACTGCCTAAGCCAAGGATTGTCCAACCTTTTTAGACCGCAAAACCTGTTAATTTAAAAAAAAATTCCCAATGTCCCTGATTAAGGGGAAAAACGCTGGTGATGGGAAATTTGCTCCATTTGAGTGAACTTTTTGGGGGCTTTAGTCTCTCACAGAACCCCTTCAAGTTTTGGTGCAACACAGGGTATATCCATGGATCATGGCCTGATAAACCCTGTTCTCAACATTACTAATGTATGAATCCCATCAGCATGGAAAAATTGTAGTTATTCTAAATATAAAACCTTGCAAATTCTTAACATCTGTTGATGGAAGCTTCAGATAGTACCATCATAAATCTAAGAAATATAGATTTGATATGGATTTTCAAGGGCAGGGATCCTGTGTCCTTCCAGATGTTGAGTTACACTACACTACATCTTTGAGTAAGGGTGTCCTGCCGGCCGCCTTGAAAGAGGCGGTGGTGAGGCCCCTCCTCAAGAAGCCCTCTCTGGATCTGGCTGTTTTGGCTAACTATCGTCCAGTCTCCAACCTTCGTTTTATTGTGAAGGTTGTTGAGAGTGTGGTGGCGTGGCAGCTTCCCCAATACCTGGATGAAGCTGTCTATTTAGACCCGCTCCAGTCCGGTTTCAGGCCTGGGTACAGCACGGAAACGGCATTGGTCATGTTGGTGCATGATCTCTGGAGGGCTTATTCCTCTATCCTGGTCCTGTTAGATCTCTCAGCGGCTTTTGATACCATCGACCATGGTATCATGTTGTGCCAGTTGGAGGGATTCGGGGTGGGGGAGCACCGTTTTGCGGTGGTTCTCCTATCTCTCCAACCGGTCGCAATCTGTGTTGACGGGGGCAGTGGTCGACCCCGAGGTGCCTTGTTTGTGGGGTGCCACAAGGGTCGGTCCTCTCGCCCCTCCTGTTCAACATTTATGTGAAGCCGCTGGGTGGGATCATCCGTGGTTTTGGGGTGGAGTTCCATCAGTACGCTGATGACACTCAGCTGTACATCTCCACCCCAGACCATCCCAACGATGCCTTGGAAGTGATGTCCCAGTGCCTGGAGGCTGTGTGGGTCTGGATGGGGAAAAACAGGCTTCGACTCAACCCTTCCAAGACCGAGTGGCTGTGGCTGCCGGAGTCCCAGTATAGCCAGCTGGTGCCATCGCTGGTTATTGGGGGTGAATCATTGGCCCCCACGGAAAGGGCCCGCAATTTGGGTGTCCTCTTGGACGCACGTCTGTCTTTAGAAGAGCATACGACGGCCGTGGCCAGGGGGCTTTCTATCAGGTTCACCTGATATGCCAGTTGCGCCCCTTTCTAGATCGGGACTCCTTACGCACGGTCACTCAAGCACTCGTCACTTCCTGTCTTGACTATTGTAATGCTCTCTACATGGGGCTCCCTTTGGGGTGCACCCGGAGGCTCCAACTGGTGCAAAATGCAGTTGCGCAGGGGATTATGGGAGCGACGGGGCGCTCCCACATGACACCTCTCCTGTGCAAGCTGCATTGGCTTCCGGTGGACTTCCGGGTGCACTTCAAGGTGTTGGTGACCACCTTTAAAGCGCTCCATGGCTTAGGGCCGGGGTACTTACAGGACCGCCTTCTGCCACCAATAGGGCCTCCTCAGGGTGCCGTCAGCCAGACAATGTCGGCTGGCAATCCCCAGGGGGAGAGCCTTCTCTGTGGTGGCACCTACCCTCTGGAACCGTCTACCCCCAGAGATACGAGTGATCCCAGACCTCCGGACTTTTCGTTGGGCCCTAAAAACTTACTTTTTTCAGTTAGCCGGGCTGGCCTGATTCCATGTTGGTTTTAAAGTTTGATACTGATTTTTAGTTGAAATGTTTTAAATTATGGGCCAAATTTCATTTAATTGTTTTTAAAATTATTTTAACTTTTGTGTACAAATGTTTTTATTTTGGCTGTTCACCACACTGAGTCCGAAAGGAGAAGGGTGGTATACAAATCTAATAAAAGATACACCCTGGCCAGTGGTGAAAAATGCTGGGAGCTGTAGCTCAACATCTGGAAGGGCATAGGATCCCTGCCCTTGAAAATGTACATTATCCTACATTTGTTGGGAGAAAAGGATCGATTTCTGCAGGTCGAATCTATGTTTCTTAGATTTATGAAGGTACTATCTGAAGCCTCCATCAACTGATGTTAAGAATCTGCAAGATTTCGGGGACTTCTGGTGGCACCTCAGGCGCCGAGGATGCTCTTTTCTTGAGCGCCAGCCCCGAGATCTTGTAAAGCTGCTAGAACAGCGCAAATCAGCTGTCTAGGAGCTTGAAAACTTTCTCCCCAGGAAAAGGGGAGGAAGAGAGCAGGCGGGCATAGGTAGAGCTCCCCAAGGAGCCCCAGGAACAATTCTGGGGCTTGAAGGGTGAGAACTCCCTGGAAGCCCAACAGAGCTCCGGATCCGGAACGTTTCTGCTTCAAGCAGAAGAAGACGCCGCGACCACCCCTGCAAACAACACTTGAATAAACATCATTCGGAAGCAGGCTGAGCAAACTCAGGAGAGATGAGATCTGCAAGTACTGAACTTTAACTCCAAATATGTATTACTTCCTTCTGACTTATTAAGGGGAGAAAGTGAAACCAAGATGGCGATTGTGCTTTAATGGGGCGTGAAAACGAAAGTTAAAAAGGAAAGTTTCTTTTAGTGTTGGCAGCCCCTGTTCAAAATTAGAGATTTGTGTTTTTTAAAAAAAGGAGAAGATTAGAGATTACAGCAGTGATCCTTAAAAAAAGGATTGATATTATTTAAAGACTGATTTCTGGATTTGGTGGATCGACTGTTCTGGCAGCTGACTAAATTTAAATTGGAAGCTAAAAATGGCTTCAAAACAAATTAAGGCTATTGTCCCCAAAAGTGCTGGGACTTCGCCAGCTCAAAGGTCCAGATTGCAATCTCTCTCTGTTCCAACAGAACCAACAATATTAACATTTTAAATGATGCAGGAAGCCCTCAAAACACAAGCCTTTGTTACAGAAAAAAAAATTGCTTCAGTGTTTCAGGAGCAAACTCGAGAAGTAGCTGAAGAAATAGCTCAGATCAACGAGACTATTCAAAAATGAAACCAAGAAATTAGAGAAGATATTATTATGGCAGTACAAGGATTGGCAGGACACGTTGAAGCAATAGATGAAAAAGTGGAAGAAATTAAGCAGTCTAATGAGAACTTGGAAAATAAAATGGGGGAGGTCCAGGACAAGATGGAAAGAGCAGAGGCGGATGTGATAATGATACTATATAGAGACATGGAATTTGCTCTGAGAATAAGAGGCCTCAAGGAAAATAAGCAAGAGAATTTGAGAGAGATCTTTTGAGAAGCATTTGCACAGATAATGGAAGATCAAAAAGCAAATTTTGAATGGCAAATTGACAAAATTTATCGTGTCAATTCATGGGTGGCCAGACAGAAACATCTACCAAGAGACATTGTAGTTTATGTTACAACAAGGAGATTACACAATGAAAACCTAGAAGTCACTTTTAAAAACAAACTTCAAGTGCAGGGGCAGGAGGTTTTAACACTGAAAGAAATTCCCCCCAAAATGTTGAGAGCCAGAAAGGATTATGCCTTTCTGGTGGAAGAACTGAGATACCATCAGATACAGTATAGATGGGAAGTTCCAGCCGGCTTAGTGGTGAATTATTCAGGAGAAAGATACCGTCTCAATTCAGTGTGGAAGGCAAGAGATTTCTATACCAATGTATTAAAGGCTGGATGCCCTCAGCCCCAGGAAGCTAGAAGGAAGACAGAAATAGAGGGGGCAAGAAAGGGGGAGAAAGAAGAATTGTTGGCACAGGCCCAAAAGGGTGATTTGTTTATTCAAGAAGAATTAATACAATTTTCGACTACTGTTCAAGCTTTGGAGATAGAAGAATCTAAGGATCAAAGACAGACTCGAGCGGCAGCCAAGTGTCAAGAAGAATTAAGAGTGCAGCAACTTCAAATGATTCAAGATACTACAAAAACAGAAGGAGTAGGAGGAGCAAAGCCAAAAAGTAAAATGCATGGAGATTTCCAATAGATGCTCCAAGTGCTTCAAAGAGCCAAGAATGGCAACTAGATTTTTTGACTTGGAATGTTAATGGCCTAAATTCACCACAAAAGAGGAGAAAATATTTCATTATTTGAAACAGTTTAAAAATGATGTAATCTGTTTACAAGAGACTCATATTAGAAGTAAAGATCAAAAATATTTAATAAATGCAAGGTTAGGTATACATTTTGTTGCATCTGCTCCTGAGAAGAAGAATGGTATAGTTATATACCTAAAAAAAGACTTAATTGCCAAATTAATTGAATCAGCTGATCAAGGAAGATTTATAGCAATTGAACTTTTAATAAAAGGAGAAAAAATACTTTTAATTGGAGTCTACACACCGAACCAACAATAGGAAAATTTTTATAAGCTTTTACATTCCAAGTTATTACAATGGGATTATAAATCATGTATTTTATTGGGTGATTGGAATGGAGTTTTGGACACTAAAAAAGATAAGGGGCTCTTGCAGAACATTTCAACGCGTGCCAGATTGCCAAAATCGTTTTTTGAAATGATGGAGGATATGGAACTGAGAGATATGTGGCGAGAGAGAAACCCCGAAGAATAAGACTTTACCTTTTTTTCTGATAGACATCAATCTTTCTCAAGGATTGATTTTATATTAATTACAAATCATTTCTTTTCCAGAGTGAAGAAGATGAAGATTTGTCCAAGAGTTTTAACGTATCATAGTCCAGTCTGGATGGAATTAGAGTCTGGAAGGGGATCTAAGAGGTCTTGGAGGTTAAATGAAAATCTGTTTAGATATGAGGACAATGTAAAAGAATGTAAAAAATTTATGAAATAATTTTTTAATTATAAATATGCATAAGGGAATCTATGGAAATGGTTTGGGATGCAAGCAAAGCATATATGAGAGGCATTTTGATATATTTGAATAATAAATATAGACGCAAACAGGAAAAAAAAGGAAGGATTTAGAAGAGGAAATCAGAAAAAAAGAACAAGCTTTGATATTGAATCCAGCAGATAAGAAAATAAAAGAAGCAATTAATTTATTGCGCGGGCAATTTAATATGTTAATGGCAGATCAGGTCGCAACTAATTTGCAATATGCTAAACATAATACTTTTTGTAATGCTAATAAACCAGGGAGGTGGTTAGCATATTTGTTAAGGAAAAAACAAAAGTCACGGACCATAGAGAAAATAGAATATAAAGGTAAAGAGGTTTATCAGCAAAATATGATTAAAAAAGCATTTTTAGAATTTTATACGAGGTTGTATGCTGGTGATAAAATTCAAGGTACAGATATAGATAGATACCTACAGAAAGAGTATAATTACAAAAGAGCAAAGGGAGGGTTTAAATCAACCAATAACCACTGAGATTATGTCTGCAATTAAGCAGTTGAAAGTGGGTAAAGCTCCTGGGACAGATGGCTTGACAGCTGCTTATTATAAACATTTGCAGTTAGAAATGGTGGGACCACTTAAAGAATTATTTACTAATATACAATCTGGAGGAGATGTACCCCCATCTTGGAGGACAGCTTATATTTCTGGGGGGAAATTGTTGTAATGATTGTTAAAACTTTTTAAATAAAAAAAAAAGAATCTGCAAGATTTTATATTTAGAATAGCTACAACTCTTATTTGCTGATGGATGTTCTTGCAGTAACTGAACGTGGTGTTGCCCTTATTTTGGAATGCAATTCTGGCTCAATGGCTTAATTTGACTTACTCGTTTAAAAAAAAAAAACACCATTTATAATAGAATATTAACTCTTCATTTTAATTATCTGTAGTGCCTGTGTCTCTATGTATTGTTTCTTTGTCTTTTAAATATCTCTGGTTTTAATTCTGGTTTTATGTTTTATTGTAATCCAGGGAGAGAATTGTAATACAGATGGAACATTGTGTTGTATTCTTTCTAGCCTTGAATGCTACACTCACTGCCTTATTTGGACAACTTTAACTGAATATTACTATGTGTTTATTTTTCAAAACACTGTTTGCAGTTCTAGTTGGATGACCAGTATGACACAGAACATATGTTTTATTATTATGCTAAGGTTATTCTAATAAGAAATTTAATGAGACTGTAAGAGAACATAAGCATCTGCTGCATGCATTTCCACATTTTTAAATTGCAAACAGAATGGGGGAGAAACTCTGCTTGAAAAATGAAGGAATAGATAGCCCATTTCAGAAAATATCTGGGAACACATGGAAATATACAGGTGCATTTTTGTCCTGTAACTTTTTAAATAGGGCCCTTATTCTCTTGGCACGTTACTTAAATCAGCTGTGTTAAAATCCCAAATATGAGTAGACAGCTGTAAAGTTTAATGACACTCTCTTTTTGTTTAAACAGAAATCTGGGAACTGGGAAGGGGGATTCATGCAGTACGTTGAATAATGATATTATTATTATTATTATTATTTTATTGAAAAAGTTTTACAATTACATTTTCTCCCCAATTTCCCCCCCGACCCTCCCTGACCTCCCTAACCCTCCCTAACCCTCCCCTCCCCCCCAGACTTCCTCAGAATATAATCCAAATCAAAATCCCCTTTTTATAAAACTTGAACCCATCCACCCCCTATAAATTTTTCACATCTTCACAAAATTCTATTATTCTATCCCTATATAGTACTTTCAGTTAAAAGCTATCTGATATTTCCTAGTTTGATATTTATTCTGCACATAATCTATCCACTTTTTCCACTCCCATACATAAGTCTCTTGTGAGCGATCTTTTAAATATGCTGAAATCTTCCGCCATCTCTGCAAAACTGGCCAAATAATGATATTATTTGTTGTGTGAAATACGTTGTGGCTTGTAAATCATGTTTTATGCCTTAGCATATTGGATGAAAATCATGTTTTATGCCTTAGCATATTGGATGAAACATCCTTATTGCTTTATTGAGCATAATGAGATCTTGATATATTGTGCAGATCTAATAATAGAACAGCAAATCGGTTGAATGAACCATTTCTTTATATCAGTATTCTAGTAATAGGCCGGAACAAACATAAAATGACCTTGGCTTCTCTTGGCTTCTGTTGTAAAGTAAATATGTGCTTTGTAGGCAGAATGTTTTGACATTTGCTATGTTTTTCTTCTTTCCAAAGATGGCTTCTTCATGTTTCAGCAAACACCCATGGTGGAAATTGACGGGATGAAGCTGGTACAGACACGGGCCATCCTCCGTTATATTGCCACGAAGTACAACTTGTATGGGATGAATATGAAGGAGAGAGCATTGTAATGTCACCACTGTATCTAGCTAATTTGAAATTTCAGCTGGAGTCCTGTCTAGTGTGCCTGCCTTTGATTCAGTCACATAAGAGTATCCCTCTCACTGAAATAAATTGTGGCCCACTCCTCAAAATACTACATGGGCTAGTCCACCATGTTAAACCATAAGGCTTGTTTAGCAACACATGCTAGTTTTGCTTGCAGGCCCATGCATCTAACCAACAACCTGTGATTTTGCCAGCCAGACTCTATCATGTTTGTTTGTGTGGTTCTCCCGATTCCTTCCGGGAATCTGGATGGAAGCATAGCATGTATGACAGTTATTGGTGGAGCCATTGGGCAGAGCTATGAATGTCTGTCACTAAACAAACTTTGTGGCTTAACACAATGTACAGGTGCAGCTTCTCATATTGGCATGCAAGTGCCTTGGTAGAAGAGCCTTGGTAGTACAATGGTCTAAGGCACCCTGTTATTAAGCTGGTTATTAAGACCAGCTGCCTGCAATTACTGCAGGTTCGAATCTCGCCAAGGCTCAAGGTTGACTCAGCCTTCCATCCTTTCTAAGGTAGGTAAATTGAGGACCCAGTTGTGGGAGCAATAAGCTGACTTTGAATAAATATACAAAAAGGATGAAGGCTATTGCTGAGCACATCGTAAGCTGCCCTGAGTCTCCGGAGAAGGGCGGCATATAAATCAAATTTAAAAAAAAAATAAAAAAAATAAAAAAAGTAACTCAACCATTGGGCTAGGATTATGCTTCAGAATACTTCTTTGCTCAAACCAAAAGAAAATTTACCAAGGCTGGTCCTTGAAAAGCAACTTTCCTTGTGTGTGTCTATAGTTATTTGAATTAGAGAAACTGAAGTGGTATGAATTTCTCCCAGTGCTATGCATAGCTACTATAGCCATCCGCTATGCATTTGCCACTGGTCACCTGGAATCCAAGGAAGGATAAATGTCTAGCAGCTGCAAACCAAGTTTAACTCCTTGATTAGATATTACTTATGATCAGTAAAGCTATCTGGTTAAATACATTTCCTGAAAAAATTGTTCATATATAGCCATTTAAAAAGCTAAAATTTGGAGATATTCAATTTTTTAAAAACTAGAGTACACCTATTTTAGGATTTTACTGCAGTCATTATGTGTTCTTTTCTTCAGCATGATGGCCAATTGGTGATTTTGCTTAGAGGGCATTCTGAAAAAAAGGACTCAAGAATTGGAAGTCATCCACACTTGATAGATTGTAAAATAAGCGCTCAGACTGATGCAGGATGTTCTGTCTTCTTAGGATTGACATGTATGTGGAAGGAACAATGGACCTGAGTCTCCATATTTTGTCCTTCCCCTTCTTGACACCGGAGGATCAAGAGCGCCAACTTGTTATTATTAAAGAAAAATCAACAAAAAGATATTTTCCGGTTTATGAAAAGGTAAGTGTTACTAAACAAATGTTTTTGGTTCAAGGATCACCCACCATAGCTTCCAGATCAGTGGTGGGTTCCTCCCGGTTCGGCCTGGTTCCCGCAAGCCGGTAGCGGTGATGATATGACATCACCAAACCGGTTCTGCCCCCCCGCCCCCCGCGTTATTCTTACCTTTTATTTGGCCCCACTCCCAATCTATTGCTGCTTCCTGAGTCCCAGCTGATGGCTAAGGGAAAAAAACTGTTTAAACTCTTGCCCTGGGGTTTCAAAGGGCCGCCCTACAGCTGATCATTGTTAAAAGAAAACAAATGAGTAGACCGGTGTCTGCAAAAATAAATGGGTAGACCCAGTGGTGGGATTCTAGTTCGGTAGAACCGGTTGTTAAGTAGTTAAGCCAGTGGTTCCCAAAGTGGGCAGTACCATGCCTTAGGGGGGCGGTAAGAGGCAAGGCGGGTGGCAGGGGAGCGCTAGAGGCAAAAGGGGGCGACGGAGGCGCTAAGTAGCAAAGAGGGTGGCCCCCACCCTTTGGCCTGTGCCTCACAGCAGTTACATCCTTGCAAGCAAACAGCAAGAAAAAACAACTCCTTTCAGCTTCAGCATAGGTTAATTAGCCCGTTGATTAGATCTGCCTCCCAACTCTCAGTTGATTTGCTCTCAGCTGTTTTGTGCAGGGCTCAGCTGCTTGCTGCAAAGAGCTAAATTGCTGGAGCAGATTTTTTTTCTCCTTATGCAAATCAAGCTGAAAACAAAACTGAAAGTAAAGCAGCGTTGGCTGTTACATTGGAAAATTAGGCAGAGGCAGATTTTTTTTCTTTTTCCTCACCAAAAAAGGTAGGTGCAAACAATGGGAAATTTAGGGCAAAAGAGGAGAGTTCAAGATTTTAAAACACAAAAGAAAAAAAGCTCTATTTAACTAGGGAATTGTAATAATTGAGATACTATTAATTGTATATTGTGTTGAAAGCAGAAATGGTTAAGTTGTGGTTTGGAGGAATATAGGGAGGAAATTATTTGGTTTATTATTATTGGAAAATACAATTAATTGATTTGTAAGAAATTGGATTGCATGGAAATAATTGGAATATTCATATTCATATTGATTAATATACAAAAAAGATAGTTATATAACTTGTTAGGTTCAGCTTGTAGCTTACTCCTAACTTGTTGGTCAGGCAATATATCTGTTTCTTTAAGAAGCAACTGAGCCACGTAATCAGGGTTTGCTGAACCCTGTAATTAGGCTACAGTGCATAAATAAGCAGCGCAGAGAAGCGTTCTTTCTTCCTGATTGTTCCTGTTGCTTCCTGTGTCTTTCTGCTGATTGATGTTAGACTGAATTGTTATATGGTACTATATACCGAGAGTTACTAAAGTCTGTTTGCTTTGGTAAGGGAAGATACCCTAACATAACTAATTGATTTATATTAAAATGTTGAATTTGTATTAAACAACTGTAATATTACATAATTAACCAATGTGAGGATGGATATAAAAATAGATGACAATGGGAAGGGGTATAATATAGAATAGAAGGGAAAAATTGAATGGTTAAGATTAGAGATGAAGATGAAGGGTAATATTGGTTTTTTAAAAAAATAGATGAGGAATAAATATCAAGAGCCTTGATAGTACAGGGGTTTAGTGCACCCTGTAATTAACACAGCTGCCTGCAATTTCTGCTGGTTCGAATCTCTCCAAGGCTCAAGGTTGACTCAGCCTTCCATCCTTTCTAAGGTAGGTGAAATGAGGACCCAGTTTGTGGGGGCAATAAGCTGACTTTGTATAAAACATACAAAAGAATGAAGGCTATTGCTTAACGCATTGTAAGCCGCCCTGAGTCTCCGGAGAAGGGCGGCATATAAATCAAATTAAAATAAAATAAAATAAAATAAAAATATGGCAAAAAGGAAATATAGAAATTGTAAATTTAATTGAAATGACTAAACACTGTTTAAATTTGTGAATTGGCCAAATACTCTGTTCAAAGAAAATACATTGTATGTTTGTATGTGTGTTTCTAATTATTGCTATTTATTCATATTTGTTCTCTTTTATTCTTTAAAGTTTAACAATTCATTCTTTATCTTAATATCTTTATATTTGTTTGGGGTTGCCTTTCTTCCCTTTCATCTTTTTTATTGTACAGCAATCTTTCTCCTCAAACCTACCACCTCTCTTTTCTTTCCTTCTTACTTTCTCTTCCCCCCTCTTCTCCCTCCCTACTTCCACTTCCTTTCTCCTTCTCCTCCTCTTCCCTTCTCTCTTACCCTCACTCCTACTCTAATTTCCCTTCCCTTCCTTCCTCCCTTCTCTTCCTTCCCTCTCTTCTCCTTCTTCATCCCTCTCTATTGCTGTATCCTTTTGTGCATATGGATTACTCAGAGGGCTGAAAAAGTTATTTTTGAGTGGTCCTTGCACTTTTGACCAGTCCTCAAACTTACGACTGTCCTCACATTTTACGTTTTTCGCCCTATCTTGTCACCATGGTGAAGAGAAGCAGTTGTGAAATGAGTGACACGGTTGTTAAGAATGCTACAATGGGCATAAATGATGGCCAGTCATAAGTGCGAGGACCGGTCAAAAGTGCGAAGACCTGTCAGAAATCACTTTTTTCAGCCCTCTGGGTAGTCCTTTTGTGCATATGGACTACTCAGAGGGCTGAAAAAATTATTTTTGATTGGTCCTTGCACTTTTGACCAGTCCTCGAACTTACAACTGTCCTCACATTTTACGTTTTTTGCCCTATCTTGTCACCATGGTGAAGAGAAGAAGTTGTGAAATGAATGACATGGTTGTTAAGAATGCTGCACGGGCATAAATGTGAGGATGGTCATAAGTGTGAGGACCAGTCAAAAGTGCGAGGACCTGTCAGAAATGACTTTTTTCAGCCTTCTGAGTAGTCCCTATGCACATAGCCATGGCCCCCCGGTCACATGACCAGCTAGCCACGCCCACCCAGTCACATGACCTCCAAGCCACGCCCACAAAATAAACCACACCCACAGAACCGGTAGTAAAAAAATTTAGAACCCACCCCTGTTCCAGATATTTTACAGGTGCACTGAAACTCCAACAATCTCTTGCCTGGGTGGAAGTGTTGGAAGGATAAAACATCAAGTTCCTCACCTTTGCTTTACAGCAGGGATATGTAGTAGCATTTTTTATCTGTGTGAAGCCTGGACTTGTCTTGAGAGGTGTGCTGAGTCCTGCACTCAGAAAAGATGTATATCCTAGAATAGAATAGAATAGAATAGAATAGAATAGAATAGAATAGAATAGAATGTAGAATATAGAACACACCTTGGAGGTCTGTTCTATATTTTAGTCCAACCCCCTGCTTAGGCAGGAAACTATACCATTTCAGACAAATTGTTATCCAATCTCTTCTTAAAAACTTTCAGTGTTGGAGTATTTACAACTTCTGAAGGCAAGTTGTTCCACTGGTTAATTGTTCTAATTGTCAAGAAATTTCTCCTTAGTTCTAAGTTGCTTCTCTCCTTGATTAGTTTCCACCCATTGCTTTTTGTTCTACCCTCAGGTGCTTTGGAGAATAGCTTGACTCCCACTTCTTTGTGGCAGCCCCTGAGATATTGGAACACTGGTTTTTTTTTTGTTTTTTTGAGAAAACTTTATTGAGTTTTTAAAAAAAAACATAAATATGTTAACATTTTCAATTTACATCAGATGTGCAGTGTTTTAACTATATACAGAAATAATATTCTGGTGATAATTTCGAATTACTTTTTACCATTATTTAACACACCTTTTGGTCTTACTTTCATTTTATCATGCATCCACTTATACCACCTTTCCCACTCAATATAATAATCTGACTTCTCATCATCGTTTAATTCATGAGTTAATTTGATCATCTCTGCGCACTCCAGTATTTTCCTAATTATAAGCTCTTCTGGTGGTTGGGTTTTCTCTTTCCAGTACTGTGCGTATGCCAGTCTGGAGGCTGTAATTATATGGAATATAATATGAATCTTTTCCTTTCCGTATGGCTTCTTTACTATTCCCAGGAGAAATATCTCTGGTGTTAATTCAATATCTTCGCCAATTATTTCATATAACCATCTCCTAATCTTACTCCAATATCCTTTCGCTTCTGGGCATGTCCACCACATGTGAAAGAAGGTGCCTTGACCGTGGCCACATTTCCAACAATTGGGGTGTATATTAGGGTATATCTTTGCTAGTCTGGCCGGGGCTAGATACCATCTATGGAGCATTTTGTAATGGTTTTCCTTGTATGTTGCCTCTCTGGTCAATTTAAGGTTCCTATTCCATGCCTCCTCCCATTCCCCCAAATTTACGTCTCATCCAATATTTTTCTCCCATGCATTTATTTGATTCTTTGTTATATCCTCGGACTTATCGTCATCTAATAAATAATTATATAGTTTAGCCAAAGTCTTTTTACCTGTTCCCATCAGGACTTTATCCAATCCATTTGGTCCAAATTCTAAGCCGAATTGTTCTTTGTCTTTCTGGTATCTAGATTTTATTTGTAAGTAGGTCCACCAATCTAAAGTTATTCCTTGCTCTCTTAAAGTATCATTTGATTTAAGATTCCCTCCTTCGTCTAAGATATCTTTGTACCTGCCCATTTTCTTCATTCCCCATCTATTAGAGTAGATCAGGGCCTCCATCGTTGAGAGCCAACTTGGGACTTTTTTGTAATATCTTTGCCTAATCGGGGTCCATGTTTGTATCAATGAGTCTCTAATTTTATGTCTATGGAAATATGTCTTCCTTTTCTTCTCTACCTCCCAAATGTGAGCATGCCACCCTTTTTGTAAATCGTGGCCTTCTAGGGTTAAAATCCTCTCGTTTTCCAGGGTGATCCAATCTCTTATCCAAACTAGCTTAGCTGCCCTGTAATATGTTTCCCAATTGGGGAGCCCAAATCCACCTATAGCTCTTTTGCCCCTTAAAATTTTAATAGAAAACCTCGGTTTCTTCCCCTCCCATATAAATTCTCTGATAATTTTATCTAATTCTGAGAAAAACTTTTTATCTAAATTCACTGGTATGTTTTGGAATAAAAATAATATTTTGGGGAGAATACTCATCTTAATAGCGGCTATCTTGCCCAAAAGTGACAATCTTATTTTCTTCCATCTGTCAAGGTCTTGTTTCATTTTTCTAATTAAGGGGGTATAGTTGTCCTCTTTTAAGGTCGAACATCTTGATGTAATCCAAATTCCTAGGTATTTAATTTTTTTGGCAACCTGTAGTCCTAATATTTCTTCTATCTCATTTTTCTGACTCTCGGTTGTATTCTTAGTCAGTACTTTGGTTTTAGTTTTGTTCAGTATAAAGCCTGCCACCTCTCCGTATTTGCCCAATTCCTCTAACATTTTTGGTCCCGATTCTATGGGGTCCTCAAGAATTAAGGCTACATCGTCTGCGAATGCTTGCATCTTGTAAATCTCCTTCCTAATCTTCAGAACTTTTATTTCCTCATTGATTCTAATTTTCCGTAAAAGAACTTCTAGGGCCAAAATAAACAATAGTGGAGATAGGGGGCAGCCTTGCCTTACCCTCTTGCTAATTTGAAATGTTTTGGCCCTATCTCAATTCACCAAAATACTCGCCTTTTGATTGTCATAGATAGATTTGATCATCATTTCAAAATTTGTTCCATATTTCATTATCTCAATTTGTTTGGTCATAAATTTCCAATTTAAATTGTCGAATGCTTTTTGGGCATCAACAAAGATTAAGGCCATCTATTTTTCGGGGTGTTCTTCATAGTACTCTAGGGTGTCTAGCACAATTCTCAAATTGTCTCTAATTTGCCTCCCCGGGAGGAATCCGTTCTGATCCTTATATATCCAATTATTTAGTATCTTTTTCATTCTTTCTGTCATTATGCCCATGAATAGCTTATAATCCATGTTTAAGAGTGAAATTGGTCTATAATTCTGAATTTGTTTTAGGTTGGCACCTTCTTTCGGCACAAGTGTAACATGCGCTTCCTTCCACGATTCTGGGATTTTATAGCCTATCAATGCATCGTTAAAAATTTCTACCAATTTTGGTTGCAATATTTCTTCTAATTTTTTATATATTTCCCCTGGGAATCCATCGGGACCTGGCGCTTTATTGTTTTTCAGTTTGGAGAGGGCTGTTTTTAGTTCTTCAATTGTAATCTTCCTATTAAGCATTTCTCTGTCTTCTTCTGTTATTCATCTGATATTGGAACACTGTTATCATGGCTCCGTTAGTCCTTCTTTTCATTAAACTAGACATACCCAATTCCAGCAACCGTTCTTTATATGTTTTAGCCTCCAGTCCCCTAATCATCTTTGTTGCTCTTCTTTGCACTCTTTCTAGACTCTCAACATCTTTTTTTTTTATTGTGGTGACCAAAACTGGATGCAGTATTCAAAGTGTGGCCTTATCAAGGCATTATAAAGTGGTATTAACACTTCACGTGATCTTGATTCTGTCCCTCTGTTTATGCAGCCTAGAACTTTGTTGGCTTTTTTGGCAGCTGATGCACGCTGCTGGCATTTAAATGGTTGTCCACTAAGACTCCCATGTTCCCTCTCACAGTTACTACTATTGAGCAAGGCACCACATATACTGTGTTTCCCCAAAACGAAGATCTCTCCAGATAATAAGCCAAATTGGGCTTTTGAGCACATGCGCTCAAATAAGCCCTCCCCGAAAATAAGGCCTTTGAAGCGCCTGTGCAGCCAGTCCCTATTTCCTCAGGGGGGGAGGAAAGGAGGGGGGAACATGCCCCATGCGCCCCACACGCACCTGCCATCCATGCGGAATGGCCTCACGGAGGCCACTCCCACAAACCCTAGCAAACCCAGCATGGCTGGGTCGACGGTATGGTGCAGAGTCCTGGGAAGCATGGTTAGAAGCACGTGCATGGCTGCAGTGGTGAACAGCTAATGAGCAGCTGTGTTGCGCTGCTGCTGGAAGTCCCATTGCTGCTGCTCCCTCCGTCATTGCCTGTCAGTGCTGCTCGCGGCCAGACTCAGCCAGGAAAGCGCCCTACTGACGAGGGCTGACTGGTGTTGTCCTAATGTGTCCTGCCAATGCCTTGTTGCAATCCTGGAATATGCTGAAGGCTCAGAATGTGGCGTTTTTGCGAATGGCTTGAAAAACAGGAGGGGAGATTTTCCTGCCGCTTATCTGTTCTCAGTCTGTGCTGAGCTTCAGCACAGGGTGAGAGGCAGGAAAATCCCCCCCCCATTTTCAAGCCGTTCACAAAAATGCCCCATTCCAAGCTTTCAGCATATTCCAGGATTGCAACATTGAAGGGCAGGCAACGGCGATGGGACATCTGGTCACAGCGCCGTAGCTGGGCTGACGGCATGGTGCAGAGTCCTCAGAAGTATGTGCACGGTTGCAGGGATGAACAGCTGACGAGCGGCTATATTGTGCTGCTGCTGGAAGTCCTGTCGCCGCTGTTGCCTCCCTTTTCTTTGCACTGACTGCGCACCTTGTTGCCTGCCGGTGCCGCTCGCATCCAAATCCAGCCAGGAGAGCGGCCTGCTGATGAGCGGCTGGACGGCGCTGTCCTGACATGTCCTGCCCCTGCCGCCTTGCTCGTCATTGGACTCACCAGCTCCGATGCAGCTCTGTGCCCCCCCCACCAGGTATGGCGAGTTCGCTCCTGCATCTCAAAAAAAAAAAAAAAAAGACCTCCCCCAAAATAAGGCCAAGCGCTTATTTTGGGGGTCAAAAGAAAATAAGACCTGTCTTATTTTCAGGGAAACATGGTACTGTACCTGTGCATTTTGCTTTTCTTGCCTAAATGTAGAACCTTATTTTTTTCACCATTGAATTTCATTGTTAGATAGCACCCAATGTTCAAGTCTGTCAAGATCCTTCTATATCTTAAGCCTATCTTCTGGAGTGTTGGCTATTCCTGCTAGCTTGGTATCATCTGCAAATTTGATGAGTTCCCCATCAATCCCCTTGTGCAAATAATTGATGAATATGTTGAAGAGTACTAAAACAGAGCCTTGGGGTACCCCACTGCATGCTTCCTTCCATGTAGATGCAGTTTCATTGAGGATTACATGTTGAGTTCGGTTGGTCAGCCAGTTACGAATCCATCTGGTGGTGATGCTGTCTAATCCACATTCTTATCAAATAGTAGATTAAGGTCTACTTTATCAAATGTCTTACTGAAGTCCAAGTAAATTACATCCACAGCATTCCTCTGGTCCACTAGTTTTGTCACTTTATCAAAGAATGCAGTAAGATTTGTCTGGTATGATCTGTTTTTGACAAACCCATGTTGGTTTTTGGTTATTACTTTGTGTGCTTCTAGGTGTTCGCTGCTTCATTAAATTATGGAGGGGTATATAAGTCTTAAGTGCTATTGCTATAATGACAAGGAGAGAAATATGACTATGGTGTGCCTTCTGAGTAATATATGACAATGAAAACATCATTTCGATACTTTTGTTTTGCAAAACAAGGGTCATTCATTTCTTACTTTACTCAGATCATCTCTCCACTGGAATCTTGGAGATCACTGAGTGGCTGCTGTTAGATTTGGTCTATTTGTCTTGCCCTTATAGGTGCTGAAGGATCATGGACAAGATTTCCTTGTTGGCAATCGGTTTAGCTTGGCAGACATTCACCTCTTTGAAACTATTTTAATGGTAGAGGAAAAACTCCCCACCATCCTGAATGAATTTCCTCAATTGCAGGTATGAGAAAATAAATAAAGTCTTAGTATTCCTTTAAATTTAAAACCTATGCCATGAGCTTTGAACAGGGTTTTATCAAATGGATTAAACATGGTTGGTATTACATGTGTATATTGAGACTTGTGTCATAATTGTAGCTTTTTAATTGTTTAATGCTAAAGTCCAGTTGATGAAAGTGTTTTCATCCTCCCTGCTAGGCTTTTAAAACAAGGATCAGTCACATTCCCACAATTAAGAAGTTTCTGGAACCAGGAAGCCAGAGGAAACCTATCCCTGATGGTAAATACGTGGAGACAGTGAAAAATGTTCTCCAGATGTATCAACAGCTGAAGCCAAATCCTTGAGATTCTATCAAGTTATTCTGATGATTTCACAGTTACAGAAATTAGTAATACGCGCAAGACAAAAACCATGCTTTCACATTGGAGATACACAGTTTGCAAGAGTATCGCACAACCTTTGCAAAGTGGATTATAGACTGTGAAAATAGCTTCTTCTGTAGATGATAGTGACAGTTGTAGCAAAGAAAGAGGATCATGATTGTAAAGGGATTTGATATAAGCATTATGACTGATTAAGATCAACATTCACTAAGAGAATCATATTTTTAAGAAGCGGTGTTTTAATTCTAGATTATCTGTAATCTCTATTATTTATTTATTTTGGCAACTCAATAGCATCCCTGAAATTATACTATTGAGATTTAGTAAACTATCTCCAAAACAGGAATTCACACATTTTGGTAGAAAACAAAATGTGGATCAGTCAAAAAAGTTAATTCTCCTAATAAATAAAGCATGCAATCCTTTTGAAGAAACTCTGTCCCACCATTCAGCATAATATCAAAAGCATAGTTACCCAGACCACTGCAGTCTTCATCATCACCACCAACATTTTAATGTTTTTTTGGTAAAATGTGATCTATCAAAAGTTGCCTGCTGTTTTAAAGGGTATTGTGAATCATTGCATTGTATGAAATAATATTTTTACTAGTCCAATAAAATAAAGCTTAGCAAGAAACGGGGAAAAAAACATTTTCTATCTAACATTGTATTTTATTAACAAAGGTTTTTTGGTTGTTCAAACCTTCTTCTTTTTCCTTTCCCCAGTCTGTTTGTTCTTTTAAACCATAGTGTGTTCCTTGATTTTGATTCAAAGTGGTTTGCAAATTCAGCCATTTTGACATATACAATGAATAATGATTTAGCACAGTGTTAAATATCATATAGCGTAAAAAGTGCTCAAATTAAATACATTTAGAATTGAAACATACATGTCCAGGTTTCCATAGTATCTTATCAATCTCTTAAAAGGTATACATGTCAACATTTTAGTACATTTACATTTAATTTGTGGTGTTCATTAGTATAGTGACTATTTTTTATCATATTGGCCTGTTGCTACCGTGCTTTGGAATTTTATTCTGTTTCTAATGAGCTGTTTTTCTTGTACAGAAAAATATTGTTTGCCTGATTGCCCACAAAGAACGCTCATTTCTGATTTTATTAGGATCTTTTGATCTTGTAATCTTTTTGTGAGTGACAATTATAGATAAAACACATACTGTACTGTAGTTTTTAGGACCATTCATTAAACTCCCTGAATGCAATTTACAATTTTATAAATCAAGTATACCTACTTCAGGTGAATATTTTAGAATCTTAAGCTTAATGCATAGGATTTCCAAGAGTATCATGATTCAAGGGTTAAAATGTAGGATTCCTTTCACACAATTTACCAATGTAACAAATGAAGAAAATAGCTTTCGGTTAAAAAAAAAGGAAGGGTAAAATTAAGGAAACCGTAAAACCCATCATCTAAAGCAAAAAGGGCCTCTTGGAGAGCCAGCAAATCCAGGCTTCTTAGGCTGGATTTTTCTCTTAGACTCTGCCAGCTCTCTTACTGATTAATATTCTGGTTAAATTGGTTAAAGAAATATGTGTCTCTAAGAATAACATAACTAGTGACACAGGCTCTGTCTCACACCTTTGTGCACACACACTACCACTACATTTGTTTTTAAAAATCTACATTAAAAAAAAAGTTATATCTTGTGAAGTTACATGCCAACAATACACTTTGGCACTTAGGAAAGGAATGAAATGTTTAATAAAATTTAAGGTCTCTTATTTGGGGGTGGGGGAAGGATGTGTGTGTGCCTTTGAGCGAGTGTCAACTCCTGCGGGCTGTCTGAATTAGTCCCTGCAATTTTCTTGCCAAAATTATGGAAGTGGCTTGCCATTGTCTCCTTCAGAGGGCTAAGAGGGAGTGACTGGGCCAAGGTCATCCAGCTGGCTTCATACCTAAGGCAGCACTAGAACTCTGTCTCCTGCTTTCTAGCCGGGTGCCTTAACCACTGCACTATAATGTCCTGTTGCCATCTAGTGGTTAAAAGATGACATTTCATGATTTAGTTAAGAACACTAATCTTGCATATTTTCAGCAAAAGTATTTCATGCAGTGCAGTCATATGATGTGGTGCTTTAGGACCATGTTACTTAGTCACGGTAGTTCTAGTCCCAGTTGCTGTTAACTAAGGATTTTATCTGTAAAAAAAACAAGCAAACACACTGGAAGAGCCTTGCTTAATACCTTCAATACTGACTGGCTCGCATTTCCATTCAGAAACATCACAGCCAATTGTCCAGAGAGAATTTGCAGTAGAAAAAATAATCAGAGCCAAACGGCTTGAACAAGATCATTATCCTGTAGTCCACAGAAGTGTGTAGGGATATTATAAATTAGTATTAACCCACTTCCTTAAAACATTTCTCAGAATGCTCATTGTTTTCTGGTGCATCAAAATATTTGATTTCCTGCCTAGAAGAACCCTTAGCCCTAATATTGACCACCTGTGGTCAGGATGGAAGTCAACAAACTCAATTCTTGCTCTCTCTCAAGTTTATATAGAGGAAATATAGAGAAATCCTGTTCAGACATTTCTCAGGACTTAGCCAAGATACCTTTTGTGGGAAGTACACCCCAAAAGGACAGTGCCAGAAACCTCATAGCACCAGAAACTTCAATAAACAGTGCAAAGAAACAGGCCAGTCCCCCCCTCTTTAAGAAAACCCCAGGCAGAAGCACCAGCTGAAAGAAAAACACAAGAGCAGCCCTGCTAATAGAGCTGACAATAGAAACACTTAAGTAGAGCCATTAAGATAAGAGGAATCAGGCTAAAAATAACTCACCTGGAACTTCCCTTTTCCTCTTTCCTGGCAGAATTAACCCCCAGGATAGAAAAGACAAAGCGCCAGGAATAGGACTGACCCATTAAGGCAGGAAGTTAGGATCCAAGGCAATCACTTTAACTAGAGGCACGCAAATAAACCCATCAATCTGGAGGAGCTTCAAAGGGGAATTAAGCATACAAGGCTCAGTCACACTTCCAAGTCTTGCAACCAAGGAACACTTGAGCCGAGTCACTTTTGCTTCTTGCCTTCCTTCATTAAAGAACCCCATTTTCTGGCAGCTGCTACCTCCCAGCTGGGAATGAACCGGAGAAATTTCTTCTAACAATTTACTGTATTACAATCACTTTAAACTTGCATGTTGTGATTTCATGTTTAGATTGCACACTTAGGAAAATGTGACAAAATATTCAGCCTATTTTAGGCCCTTAGAGCAAGAATTTTTGAAATTCCTCCCGTTAAGATTTTGCAGCCAGCAATCCAAAGGAAGCCACCATCAGATGGAAGGTTTATAGCAAAAATGAAACATTGAAGCTTTCCCCCAAACATTGAATGTGTACCAAAAGAAAATTAAACCCAAGGCTGGTTTGAGATTATGTGCTAAGAAATGTATCATTTCATAACAAACTAATAGTCATAAAGAAATACATATTGATTTACTTATTTATTTAAACAATACTATCTTATTCCACATCAAGACAACTAACAATACAGTCATTTTATTTCCATTTTTTTCCTTTAATATGAACATGTACTGTTTTTAAAAAATATAAAAACCAAAATGCACCTAAAGTATAAAAAGTATCATGCAAGTATATAGAAATAATTATACAAATATCAGTTCTAGTGAAATAGTATTGTTTCAAAACAAGATGTTAACAGAATGCTGATAGAAAAAAAATATTTCATACCATTTAGATGTCACTCAAAAGCATAAAATATTGCATAGTTTTGTATAAAAGCCTGTCTGCATAATTTATATGCAGAAACTCTGACTAGAACTATGTTATATTGTTATTTTTTTAATGGAAAGTTACTACACATTATTTGCTTTAAAAAAAATTGGAATGTAGAAAGTAACCATATTATCACAAAATTGTAAAGTAGGATTTTTGGCTTATTATAATAATCAATGGTTCTCCTGATTCATAAATGTGAAGAATTTAGTGTAGTTTTTTTAGTTATAGGGAACATTTTAAGGCATATTTCTAAAAGATTGTATCAATATTCTCACTTAAGCTCCCTTGTAAGGTCTCTGCTTTGTTAACATGGTAGTATTAGCACGATCAATATGATTTATGGATAATACTGTTGGAAGAAACATCCTTCTAGGTTCTGCTCCAAGTGGGGAAACAGACACTGGAAACATGGAGACTGCTTGGAAAGATGGTTTAATGGTGGACAGGATCACTTGGCTTGAGTTCCTGAACAGAAAAGGGGGCAGATACAGTAAATCTTCGGGTTTTTATGCTCTCTCTGGCTCTGCATTTCTTGGGGCCCCAAAAGAGTATCCTGATTGGTTGTCAGACTCCCAGGGGGTGGGGGCCTTGCTGGCTGATGGTCACATGTGCTTCCCAGGTCACATGTGGTGAGTTTCTGCTGCTATTGTGTAGAGGGCTAATCCCATCTTTGGCAATTCCTACTATGGCTCTGCCTGAAGGAGGCAGATCTTTGTTATGTAGAATAGACTGGCCCAGGCCTTAATGGCCCATTGACAAAGGGTGGGGGGCAGGAAGGTGGGAGCTGCTTTGTCTGTAAAATATGCTTCTCATATTTCTCATCCAGGGAAATATAATATTCTGCCTTTTTCATATTTCCTAAAATATTTCACTCTTCCAGGAAAGGGGTGGGTGCTAACTTCCTACAATACTCTACTTGTGAATATATTTTACAAATTTGGAACTTATTATGAGTTATAGTTTTATTGGGCATGGGATCACCCAAAATCCAACTCTCTGATGTTGGAAAGGTGGTATGATCCCAGATATACAAATGGATCACCACTATCTATTTGCTCTGTTTATGATTTGGCTATTGATGTAATGGAAATGCTGTCAATATTATTGGATATGGCAGCTGAGAACTACCTGTAATTTATAAAGTTCATTCGATGCATATCTGTGGAATCACAGACAGAAATGCACTAGCAGTTTGGAGATGGCTACCTATTCTTAGACTCTGGTGCAACACACCTCTCTGTGCTATGTGTCAACATTTAAACCAACAGATGTCTGATTGCCAGCTGCCTGTCAGTCACAGATTTTATTTTGGTGTGAGACTAATCTTGATGCATATAAAACAGAAAATCCTATCTATTGAAAGATGGCATTGTTGTATAGCGCTGATGATCCATTGCACGGAGTCAGTAGGAGCATTTTACCAAGACTTCTAGACACAGGTTTGAATAAGAGATGCCTTATATTTATTCCAGCTCCCCTTAAAGGCATTTATAGCTAAAGCACGTTCCCAGCTCTTGCATGGCATATAGTTTGGTCCTTGCGACAATTACTGAAGATAGAAATTATGCAATCCAGATTATTAAGAAAAACACTCCAGTGCATCTCTAATGTTGCTCTCCATTCTGACATGGGTTCAATTAAGATGGAGTTGAAGATCTGGCTAATCTTCCCATATTGGCTGAAGTTTATTTTTCTCCATAGGACTAAGCTCCTTATCATTAGCAGATAAAATACTTCCTAGATAAATGGTACATATATGGCTTTTTTCAAGAGACTCTCCTGTCCTTGTAGTATGAACAAGCCAAGGGCATTCTGACACAACATACATTCTGGTCCTGCCCAGAAAGTTTTCCTTAGTAGACAACCATATATTCTCAGACCAACAAGGTATTTAAATTAACATCACAGTATCCAAGTTGAGATAAGCTTCAACACTGGCTCGATTTAATCCGCTGATCGGGGGACTCTGCAAGGCAGATATATTTTACTCTATTATATTGATGTTTTTATACCCTGTTTTCCCGAAAATAAGACATCCCCTGATAATAAGCCCAATCGGGCTTTTGAACGCATACACTAAAATAAGCCTCCCCCCCAAAATAAGCCCTTCCTGAAAATATTTAAACACAGAGCTGGAAATCAGGTAAGATGGCAAAAAGAGCCCCATCTTGCTCCATGCGCCCCAAAATAATAAGACCTCCCCAAAAATAAGGCCAAGCACTTATTTCGGGGTTCAAAAAAATGTAAGACAGGGCAGGGGTAAAATCTAAAATTTGTTACTACCAGTTCTGTGGGCGTGGCTTGGTGTGTGTGTGGGGGTAATGTGACGGTGGGCGTGGCCAACTTTTTTTTAAAAGCATTTTTTCTACAACCTTTTCGGCTGAAGAGGTTGCAGAAAAAAAATGCTTTTAAGAGCCTCTGATGATCAGGCAACTCAGCTGGGATCGTCAGAGGCTTTTAAAAACATTTTTTCTACAACCTCTTCAGCCAAAGAGGTTGTAAAAAAATGCTTTTAAAAGCCTCTGACGATCCCATCTGAGCCACACGATCATCAGAGGCTTTTTTTTTAACTTTTAAAAGCATTTTTTGGCTGAAGAGGTTGTAGAAAAAATGCTTTTAAAAGTAAAAAAACCAGCCTCTGATGATCGCGCGGCTCAGCTAGGCATGGGGGGGGCGCGCACACACAGGGATTCTTGCTTTCGGTTCTCCGAACCACCCATCGCTACCGGATCAGGCGATCCGGTCCGAACCAGGAGCATTTCACCCCTAAGACAGGATCTTATTTTCGGGGAAACACAGTAGGAATATTAGAATTGTTAGGCATAAAGTATCCAACTCATTCTGACACCTTCTATATTCAGACTCTTCTTTCTGATCAAATGGATTCTACCTTCCTGGAGTTTGCCAAATTTGGTTATACTGACAGGAAGATAAAATCAAAATTTTCTAAGTCTCACATTCCTTAATATAGCAAAACTGGTTAATCCTCAAATAACTGAATAAGTACATACTTCTAGAGCAGGGGTGTCAAACTGGATTTCTTTGAGGGCCAGATCAGTATTGTAGTCCTTCTCCGTGGGCCGGCCTGGGGGGGGGGGGAGAAGATGGGATGGACGCCTCCTGCAGCACCATCGGCCAAAATGGAGCATGCTGCACGCACCCCCCCATGCCCCGTTTTCAGCCTGGACGGCCTCCTGCAGCACTCTGCCGGCCAAAATGGATGCATGCCCCATTTTGACTGCCAGAGACACCACGGGCCAGATTTAAGCACTCCACAGGCTGGATCCGGTCCACGGGCCTTGAGTTTGCCACCCCTGTTCTAGAGAGATCTCACTTTTTGCTCATTCCTTTTAAAATCTTAGTTCTATATCACAATGTAAGTACTAAATTCAAATGACAGCCTGCTTCCTAGTTTATAGACAGTTTTTATTGGTAACAATGAGGTATTATTCTATTCTTTCAGCTTGTATTTCCATATCTGGTCTTCCTCTTCTACTTTTAAACAGTTTATTGATTGTTTTCTTCTTTACAGGTAGTCCTCAGGTTATGACAGCAATTGGGACTGGAATTTTCATCACTAAGAAATGCAATTGTAAAGTGCTATGTCATGTGCCCACATTGCTTAGCAACAGTTATCCCAGCAGTCCCCATTGCTAATGTTAAGTGAGAGGATCTGATGTGACCATGATGTGGAAAGAAGCACAGGCAGGCTAATAAATGAGAGCTAGGAATGGGCAGGCAGGTGTGTGGGGGAGTGCCATGAGTGGTGCTACAGAATATGGACAAATGGGTGCTGCAGTTGGACATTATAGAATGTAACCAGGTGTGTGGGTGCCAAAGGCGGGTGCTGGAGAGTGTTAATGGAAGGACAGTTTGGAGTGCCAGTGGGCAGATGTTGGGATGGGTGCTCTAGAATATGTACATAGAATAGTAGTTATTTACGAATATTTATTCCGGTTCCACGTATTTGTAATTATGCATGTTTAAGTGATCTTTTGAAAGAAGTTTCCATGGTAATGTATGTTTTAATTTAATCCTGCCATAAACGACTCACTTTTTCCATAACGTAACCATTTCAAAAGAGATGGTTCCCTTAAAACTGAGAGCCTGACAAATTTAGGACTCCAACCTAAAACAAAATAAAACAACAAATAGCTCCTTTGGTACTCATTTGCAACAAATGTTGCAGTCTGAATTGCACCACATCACACAATTGTTTCCTAAACCCGTTTTCTTCGACTGAAATAAAAACTAGCTACTAAAGTAGCAAGAGGAATATACGAAACACAAATAATAAAATTAAACAAGACTTTCACTTTCACTCCATTGATAATTGACTTTTTAAACATGTCTTTGTTTCAGTCAAAGGACCTGAAGAAATTCTGAGCAGATCATTGCAAAAGGCTCAAGTGAACTGGCTCCTGAGACTTTTTGACCTGAAGTTTATCATTTTAAATTTGCAACTAATTGTTCTGCCTTATTAAACCAAAAACAGCCAAAGGAGGAATATTAGTCTAAACACAGACAATGACAAGTACGTAGCCATCAGAAATGTGCTTGCTTTGACATGGCACAATACATCACTCTAAATATTCAAAACTTTCCTCCCATAAAATTTGTTACTAGATTTTTCCATTAACCTGAGAACAAAAAGTCAAACAGTGAAGAGGTGAAAATGATCATCTACAGAATAATAAATACATTATATAATTTTAGGACAAATATAAAAAAACAATTAGTTTTTCTTTACATACCGGAGTAAAATATGTTTAATATTATTAAAAAAAAAATCTCAAACCTGATCATTTTATATCCTTTGAGCACTTTGAGCTTTTGCAAAGTCAGCAAAAACTGGACATAAGTTCAGAAAGATTTTTAAAAGCCTTTCATTTTTTTTAATTCTAATATTGGAATCATGACAGTTTCCCTTTGTTGTATAAAACAACGTATAAAATAGCATCCCTTTTCCTACTAGATACAGGATAGAGAGATGCTAAATTTTATGAAATTGTATACTGGTATGTCTCCAAACAGTGACAAGAAATGTTCTTGTGCAAGTAAAATATTAATAGAATATTTTCCACATTTCAAACCACAGAGCTCAAAAACCCAATCTCAATCTCCTGTTCATCAGAAGCACACATCAAGTGCAAAAATTTTCAAAGTATCCAAAAGTAAGACTGAATTGTAATAATTAGACTGCAATTCAGGATTATGTCGAACAAAGGCACATATTTTATATTTTGGCAAGAACATACACATATTCCTCATTTCCATAAAATGTACTTTTCATGCACAGCAGCATTGCTTACTTCAGTTCATACTCATTTCACCAATAACATTTTCCATCTCTAATTGTTGTTTCACAGTTGGTTTATTCTCAAGCTGAACTGCATGTTTTTCTCCTTAACATGAAGCAAGCCATTGTACATGAAGCAGCCTGGCTAAACAGGAACTTGGAATATTCATGAACTTTTCTGGCGTTTCTTAACTGGCAGTTTAGCTGAAGTGTTCTAGAAATTTGGCAAACTTATAACTGAATGAGCCTCAGTTAGTGCATTATCTATTTTGAATATATAATTACTCATGTACAAGTTTAAGGTGTTTAAATAAAAACTACACTTTGTGGATTTAAAAGAAATATAAAACTGAAGTTAACTAGCCACATAACAGGATCAAAATTTTGTTCACTTATTAAACTCATCTTTCCATAAAGAGTTTTTCACCTGCTTTTTTTTACAGCCTGTGCTTGAGCAACTTTTCAAAACTGAAAAAAAAACACATCTAGATTCAAATAGAGAAGGTATCAGTAGAAACCAGTTTAGTTTTTAGTTTATAATGTAAGAGCTTTTGTAATAAACTAAAAAACAGAAAACCTTGTCAGAAATAAACCATTCACTGCTCCATTTGAACCAGTATAAACACATACAGTGTATGTTATATGTAGGTAGTTACATAGTCATGGAAGAAAAATATGCTAAGCCTTTATTATCTCTTCTGTTCTTCTCCAAAATCAGAAACAGAATTAACTTTTTGTCATAACCACCACAATGAAATTAGATTAACAGTGTGTTGATACAATATTCAATTGATAAGATTTTATTTAAAATTTTAATATAAATTTAGGAAAGAATTTGATGCAATGTGCAAAGCAAGAGAGAAAAGCCACTGAATGAAAGTGCAGTTTTTATGCTTTAATACTGACCCAGAGACAGCCTAATAAGCTCCCATATATCCATGTTTTTATGTAAAGTTTCCTTCCAGACTCTGTCAGTAGCATGCTGGCAGTCAAACCACTTAAAAATAATACGGATGGCAATGTTTTCTGGAGACTTAGTTTGGCGTGAACACTTTTCCCAGGGAACCTATTTCTTCTTTTAGAATCTTTTGCATCATAAAATTCTATTAGCAATCTAGGAGCAAGGAAAAAGTTTAAAAATGAGATTTATTTATCATATGCTTTTGGTTTAAAGCTTTTATACAATTCTCTGATTATCTCTGATAATTTATCACAAATACTTTCCTCCAAGAACCATGACTTTTGGCCTGAAATTCTTTCTTTCATACATCAGAGACTGAATTTTTTAATCTTCATCTGCAAATAGCACAAATTTTACTACGGTGTGTAATTTGGCCAGACTTATTTTTAGGGCTGTACAAAGCATTCAAAGAGGTGTGATACGAAGCAAGTTAGCACATATGCAGCATCTGTCTCTGAAATGTTCAAGCAGTCACAACCCCTGGAAGGAATATTGCCAGCTGTCTCTGTGTAGGCATAGACAATTTTGTTAGCAATTCCAGTGGAAGCGTTCATATCTTTTTGAAGCAGCTGCTTAAGTCTCACAAAGGATGCGGCTGTTTTACCCTTCAAAGAGAGCCCTTTGTTCATACTGATGTGTTTTGTGAAGGACCAATTCTGAATGCTCTGCACAGCTCTATTTTCCTTAAGTAGGTAAATGTAAATAATTAAAGCTGCTAAATGGACTTAAATGAAAATGACTATAGAGTTTTAGCTAAGCTATATGGGTGCATTTATTGTAACAAATAAACCCAAGATTTGTTACAAGTCACAACTAGCTAAATATACACAGCATTCAAGACAAAATCAATTAATTTATAGCTTATAGAGAAGGCTAGCCTGCTATTGAATCCGTATGGATTGTGAATATCCTTTAGTCTCACCGAGTCAAATTTGAATTAGTATATTCACATCTATAAAAAAATATTGTTTTACAGATGTGGGTATACTGATTCAAACTGGACCAGGGGTTTTTTTGGCCTGTAAGTAAAGGATATTCACATCAATATTGATTCATAGTTACAATCACAAGTACAGTACCACAACATTAGTTTGAGTGATATTTCCCACTCTCATAGTCATTAATCTTATTACCTTACTCTACACTTTCCACACTCAAATTTTCCCAAGTGCAATATAGCATATAACTCATACATCACAATTCTGTAAAATGTTAAGCTAGCAACATTTATTATTAATACAAGTAATAAAGATAGCTCCTTTTTATTAAAAAATAATCAAATGCTATAGATAGAGCCAGGCCTTTTACCACTTACTTGTCCTTGACTTCAAAACGGTCATGAAGCCATCTTCTCATAAACATTTGTTCTCCTGGAATGTCTTTTAGTTCAATTCGTTCAATATGGATATGAATTCTTGGACACTCCTTACAAAGAAATTCTAAAATCCAGAAGGACATTATAAATACTTTTGTTATAACATGATTAATTTCATTTCAATTATATTTGTAAAATTAAAAGCTAACTTATTTATTTAACAATCTTTAAAACTGATCCAAAAATCCAAATCTGGATTTTTAGACTCTGATTTTAAACTGCTTTTTAAAGTCACCCTAGCACCGTGATGGCGAACCTATGGCACGCGTGCCACAGGTGGCACGCGGAGCCATATCGGTGGGCATGCGAGCTCAGCTCCACCGTGCATGCACGCGCCGGCCAACTGATTTTCAGGCCTTTTGGGCCCACCGGAAGTCAGGAAAAAGGCTGTTCCCAGCCTCTGGAGGGCCTCCAGGGGAGTGGGGAAGGCCATTTTTGCCCTCCCCAGCCTCCTAGAAAGGCCCTGGAGCCTGGGGAGAGCGAAAAATGGGCCTAGCTTGCCATCGCATGCATAAAGTGGGGGGAGCGCGTGGGGGTCACACACACATGTGCGGGGCGCTTAGAATTATAGGTGGGCACGCGCGCGAGCGACACCACACCCCGCGCATTCCCCCCACTTTTGGCACACGATGGCAAAAAGGTTAGCCATCACTGCCCTAGCAAATCTTTTATTCTAAAAGGCTGCATGTATTTCTTTTAAAATAATTTTTAAAAAGTGTATAACAAGATCTATGAGTTTTTAGACTATGTTTAAATATATTAATTGCTAACATTTTATATTAAACATTGAAAATATACAGGAAAAATAATTTCTCACATTCCCATGTGACTCTTTACAGTATTACAAATGCTCACAGGCCTCATTAAATGGAAATGACAAAACAGATTGTTGGTTTAATTTAGTTTAAATGGAGATAAAGAACAAAAACAATATGAAGTATATTTTTTCTTTAAAGATATAAAAGAATATAATAATTTCTTACATTTTTATCATTAAATGAATGGGATGAATGCATCCTATTTTATTTTTTACCTCATATACTGGTATGAAATGAAAGCATCTATGTCTTGTTTCAAATAAATTCCTAGATTCCACTTTCAAAAAATGTACCTATTTTTAGAACATTGTTCTTAAGATTACGATTAAAGAAACCCAATAGAAAAATGACAATTTTTCTATAAAAGTTAAATGCAAAATTACGTTTACTGAGAATTAAGTATGTGCCGAAGCCTTATTTTCTAAAAACTGTAGACATTAATAAATGTTATTTTTCTTAAAAAGCCAGTATTAATAAAAACAATAAAACAGGATACAATGCTATCCTAAGAGCACATTGAAAACTAAAGAAAATAACATTTTCTGAGGGAAAAATGGCAGGTACATATACACATACATAGAAATAACCAGCTACTTCATTGCATGCTTCTTAAGATCAGAAATCCACTCCCCATCTTCCCTCAACGCACTGAGAACAGGGATGGCTTTTACTTGATGTGGTGCTCTGGGCATTATTCAGTTATAACACAAGACTTCATTGTCTATAAAGTCTGTGGTTAAGGAGGGACATGTAGCTTGGGTAGGCCCACAGGAAATATGCAACTCTCCAGCTTTCTATTGCACCTTTCCCGCTCCAGCACTCCGAAGTCCCTCTTCCAAAGTTGGTGGCAAATCCCCAATTATTAAAGGATAAATATGGGTGCTTATGTAAGAGAGATAAACACAGAAAGTTCAACGCAGTGAAATAGGAAACAAATGGACATGTTAAATATCAGCAAATTCTGAAGACCTGGCTTTTCCGGCAGGCCTGGGGCCATTGATCTCGCTACGGCGATCTTGCGAGACCCGGCCATGGAATGGAGTGCATGGGTTTTTAATGTTCTTTTTTTTAAAAAAATTACGGGATATTGTTTGCATTTTTTTTGCTGTAAGCCGCCCAGAGTCTCTAGGGAGTTGGGTGGCATAGAAATGCCACAAACGAACAAACAAACAAACAAACAAACGGATAGAAATTAACACTTTCAGGAGATCCTACTACTATTCAGGACATACTGTAAAAAAACAAAGAAGGAAGAGCAGATTTTCAGTCAGAAACAATAAAATAAGAACGATACTTGGCAATGTATTGTCTGTGATACAATGCAATCACAGACCAATTACATCAATTAGATTTTGCAGATAACTCTTTAATCTGATCAATATATTATTTTGATTATTTTAACTTGTGTTCCAACCACTGATACGGAAGAAGATAATGTTCCTGAGTTTAATGGTCACGTTAAATTTGAAATGGGTAGAACATTAAATCTGAAATTGAAATTGATGTGCAGCTTGTCATTGGAGACTGGAATGCCAATGTTAGAAATATCAAGGAGGGAAATGTACTTGGACTCTCTGGGCAGAGGAAAGAAGAATGGTTTGGGGAAGAAACATCAATAATGTGTGTTGTGCTGATGATATTATACTCTGAGTGCTGAGATTGCCAATGAACTGCAAGCTCTAACAGTGAAATCAAGCAGCCTGATGACAACAAGGGAATAAGACTACATGTAGGCTTAGAACTACAAAAGAAGACAGTGAAGTGGTGGATGGCTTTTGGATCGACTATCACTAATAAAGGAAATAGCAATAAAGAAATATGCCACAGACAAGACTTGGTTAAATAAAAATGAAAACTTGTAAAATACATTCAGATGTCAAAGGTCAGAGGTGTGCAGGTAATGATTTTCTCTGTGATACTCTATGGAAGTGAAAGTTGGATTTTGAAGAAGCAGGATAGAAACAGCATTGATGCTTTTCATATCTGATGGTGGAGTAGGCTCCTGAGAATACTATGAATGGCCTAGAAAACAAAGAAATGGATCACAGAACAAATCTCACTTGAGGTTCAAATCATCCCATTTGGGACACATTCTGGGAAGAACTAGCACTCTGGAGGAGGCTCTAATGCTGGGGAAGGTAGAAGGAAAGGGAAAAAGAAGATAAGCCGCAATAAGATGGGTGGACTCAATTATAGCAGCAATGGGTACACGGCGGGAAAACCTGGAGAATACCCATCTATGTGGTCACTAAGTATTGACACTGACCTATTGGCACATAATCAATGAATGTGCCTGGTCTGTGTGGATGAAATGTTCTATTTTTTATTTCTTCCCTTCCCCTCCTTAAATCCATTTGAAACACATTTGGCCTCATACGTGGTAATGTTCGTTCTGATATAAGAGGTAAGAGGTAATATTGAGGACCCAGTTTGTGGGGGCAATAAGCTGACTTTGTATAAATATACAAAAGTATGAAGGCTATTGCTTAACGCATTGTAAGCCACCCTGAGTCTCCGGAGAAGGGCGGCATATAAATCAAATTAAAAAAAAAAAAAAAAGACCTCACTGTTGCCCTGTTAGGAGAGACAAATCATGGAAGTCACAAATTATGTCTGCCTATACACACTCAAAAGTAAACTGCTGTTCTTAACATAACTATATGCTAACAAAATATAAATGATATTATATACCGGTAATTAAAATATATTTATTTATTTGTTCAACTTGTATGCCGCCTTTCTCCAAAGACTCAAGGCGGCTTGAAACATGTATATAAAAGAAAGAACAAAGAACTCTCCTCCCCAGTTTAAAATCCAGTGCAGCAACAAATCAAGTTAAATGCTAGCTTATGTAAACAAATGTATTTGCCGGCCAATAGAAAGAGAGCCTAAAATAGAAATAAACCATTAATTAGAAATTTAGAAGTCAAACAAAAACCTGAGCCCAACCATATATCATTTGGAGCACAGAAAAAGTTCATGTTGAATGTTCTAGAAATTCCATGAAGGATGTGGATTCTTCCAGTTTGAATCAGTCAAGAGAAGGCTTTTAATAACACCTACTCACCGGTCATGGTTGGTGCCGATTTTCTTTGTCCTTTATGGTCTGTAGTACCTTCGTAGGCTATTGTAATATCATAAACTGCATCTAAGTAGCTTTTCATTGAATCAACAGCAACGTGAGTGGCCTTCACCCGTGGAGTAAGGACATGTTTCAGTACTGTGAGACCTAACCAAGAAAAAAGGCAGAGTGAAAAAGATTTAGTAGGTTGCCCAGGAAAATGGTAACATCTCTAGATCCTGCAGGTGACATCTATAAAACCAGCCATTGATTCTGATTTTCTCTAGACCCAAGCTAGTGTTTTTATTTTTCCTTTTTATCATTGAGGAGAATGATCACACATCTACCCAGTATCACAGATCAATTCAGTGAATCATAGGGCTTATTCTAAATGCATGTAAGTTCATGGCATTCACAGTGGTCCATTAAGCCTCCATATCTCTCTAAAACACACATTTAATTTGCAGAAAAGATATCCAAATGTTCTCTGATCACGGAACAAAGAGAGCTATTGTGGCAAAAATATTCAATAACTAATCATGAGAATTGTTTTCCTCATCATGGAACACAAAATATGTATCCAGAGTTCAATCTGAACATAATAAATAAGTGACATGTGAATGCAATTTAGTTACAAATCTACACCCTTCCAAAACTGCGAAGGAATATAAAATATTGTCATGTGTTGCATCCATGGCACATAAAATTAATTTCAAATCAACTTTATCAACTCCAAGACTTGGAAAAAATTGTTAATGGGTTCTTCAAACCCTAACACATTTCTTATATATCCTTTTATAAACTTTTAGACATTTTATATTTATTTATTTTATTTTATTTGGAAAATTTTATTGCTGCCTACTCACTCACCGCAGCTCACAGGAAATACAATCTTATATACAATCTTAACCAGTAAATTGTAACTCAACTCAGAAATTCTTTCTTTCAGTCTTTGCTTCCAGAACTTTTGTTTATGCTCCAGAGGGCTACTTTTAACACTCTACCTTCTTTGACCATTCAGTAATGACACCAATGTCCTGATTGGGTATTTGAATTGCCTCTCAAAATGGCAATGCAGGTCTTCCAGTTGAACTTCTGGCGCCTTCGGAAGCAAGATCCGCGACCTCCGCAGGTCCATTCCGAGCTCACCCTGTCGGGGGCTTCATTTAAAGCCATAGCCACCCTGTAGAGGTGGTGAAGCAAAGGGGTACTGCCTTGCATGTTGAGGGGAGCCGCATCTCCCCTCTCTGATTCAGAAAACCCCCTCATCCGAAGACTAGGAGCAGCGGCAGTTAAAATGGCTGCCATGAAGCCAGGGAACAGCCAGAAACAGTAAGTTTGTGCAGCAGGAGAGAAATGGTGAATGGTGTGTCGTCTGGGTAAGAAAAGATTTACAGCTGAAGCAGACTCCCCCCCCCCCCCAAATTTAAGGGGAATACCTTTTAAAACAATTTGTTACAGCGGCGTGTAACTATTGTGAAAAAGCATATTGGAAATTTAAAGAAGTAAATATTTGTTTAAAAAGAAAATTGAGTTGGAAATGGAATCCCCAAAACAAAAGGCATGATATTAAGGCAGCATATTAAGATGCTGGAACTATAAATCTACCTTTTCTTCAAATAATTTGCCATAAGTAACAGAGTTATAAGTTAAACTAAGCAAGAGAAATAAATTGGACTTGTCAAAATAAAAGCAGAGAGGTAGCAGAGTGAAGTAAAGAACGCCATCTGCTGATGACAGTGAATTTTTGCAATTTGGGAGTAAATATTGAAATGAAGGGAAATAACTGTTGAACTATACATATTTACCTTTTAACCACTGGAGACTGGAATATTAAAAAAGAATTTGTGTCTGGGGATCCGTAAATACTATTGGAGATACAAAAATGACTTGAGGAGTGGAGGATCCCTGAAGTAACCAACTGATTTGATTGATCATTGATGAGACATTTAAATTTGACTTTGAGGTTTGGTTTCTGAACTGACGATTGTGGAGACTCAAACGGAATGGAGTTAATGATTCAAAACATTAAGAACATTAGGGACCTTATCCTGGAACTACACAAGGACATAGTGGAAATATTTGATCGTAAAGATCCGTGTTGGCGAACCTGTGGCACGTAGAGCCATTTCACCTGGCACCCAAGGCGTCGCCCATTCCTGTTCCGGGTTTGTGGCACACGCATGCACATTGGCCAGCTAGTCTTCTGGTTACTGGTGCGCATGCGTGCGCGACAATCAGCTGACCTTCACATGTGCGGCAGTGCCAGAAACGGAAAGATCCTTCGCTTTGTAGCGAAGGTTGTCGAGAGTGTGATGGCGCGACAGCTCCCACAGTACCTGGATGAAACTGTCTATCTGGATCCGTTCCAGTCCGGCTTCAGGCCTGGGTACAGCACGGAAACGGCATTGGTCGCTTTGGTCGATGATCTCTGGAGGGCTCAGGGCAGGGGTTGTTCCTCTGTCCTGGTCCTATTAGATCTCTCAGCGGCTTTTGATACCATTGACCATGATATCATGCTGCGCTGGCTGGAGGGGTTGGGAGTGGGAGGCACCGTTCTACGGTGGTTTTCCTCTTATCTCTCCGACCGGTCGCAGTCCGTGTTGGCTGGGGGGCAGAGGTCGACCTCGAGGCACCTTGTTTGTGGCGTGCTGCAAGGGTCGGTCCTCTCACCTCTCCTGTTCAACATTTATGTGAAGCCGCTGGGTGAGATCATCCGTGGATTTGGGGTGCGGTGCCATCTGTACGCTGATGATACTCAGCTGTACATCTCTACCCCAGACCACCCCAACGATGCCCTTGAAGTGATGTCCCGGTGCCTGGAGGCCGTGCGGGTCTGGATGGGGAGGAACAGGCTCCGACTCAACCCTTCCAAGACCTAGTGGCTGTGGCTGCCGGCGTCCCGATATAGCCAGCTGGTGCCATCGCTGACTATTGGGGGCGGGTCATTGGCCCCCACGGAGAGGGCTCGTAACTTGGGCGTCCTCCTGGATGCACGGCTGTCTTTAGAAGAGCATATGACGGCCGTGGCCAGGGGGTCTTTCTATCAGGTTCGCCTGATATGTCAGTTGCGTTCCTTTCTGGATTGGGACTCCTTATGCATGGTCACTCATGCCCTCGTCACCTCTCGCCTGGACTACTGCAATGCTCCCTACATGGGGGTCCCCTTGAGGAGCACCCGGAGGCTCCAGCTTGTCCAGAATGCAGCCTCGCGGGTTATTATGGGGGCGACATGGCGCTCCCATGTAACACCTCTCCTGCGCGAGCTGCACTGGCTCCCGGTGGTCTTCCGGGTGTGCTTCAAGGTATTGGTTCTCATCTTTAAAGTGCTCCATGGCTTAGGGCCCGGGTATTTACGAGACCACCTTCTGCCACCGATAACCTCCCACCGGCCAATCTGCTCCCACAGAGAGGGTCTCTTCAGGGTGCCGTCGGCCAAGCAATGTCGACTGACGACCCCCAGGGGGAGAGCCTTCTCTGTGGGGGCACCCGCCCTCTGGAACGAGCTACCCTCAGGAATACGACTGATCCCAGACCTCCGTACTTTCCGTCGAGCTTTGAAGACCTTCCTATTTCAGCAAGCCGGGTTGGCTTAAAATTTTAATGGGTTATTTTATGGGCAAAGGGTTTTAAATTTTGGGAAGCCAATTTGATTTAATTTTGTTTTAATTTATTTTAATTTTTATATTGCATGTATTTTAATCTTGGCTGTTCACCGCCCTGAGTCCTTCAGAAGAAGGGCGGTATACAAATTTAATAAACCTAAACCTAAACCTTATTTGCCTAATCGATTTTTTGGAAGGAAAAGAGAGAGGTGGGTGGATGGGGATGAGGGTGGGGGGAGAGAGAGAGAGTTAATTTTTCAGCATCCACCCCATCCCATGACCCAAAGCCAACTGGCTTCTCCGCGTCCCAAGGACACACACACACACTCTGCACTCAGCAGCCACTTCTACCGGCTTTGCCTTCTTGCGCCCACCCGAGCCATCTGTTGCAAGCCGAGGAGGATGTGGGGTGATGATCGTGTCCCTGTCTCAAAGTCCCCTCGACTCCGGACGGGTTTTGCAGTTGTGTCCCTGAGTCAATGCCGGGAAGTAGCAGAAGGGCAGCCAGAGTTTCTCCTTTTCCATGCCCTGAAATCTTTTGAGACTAAGAAGAATCTTAAATCTCTCAGGAGAGATCAGGACCAGGGTGCTTATTTGCCAAATCAATTTTTCAGAAGGAAAAGAGAGAGGGGGGTGGGGAGGGGGGGAGACACACACAGAGAGAGAGAGAGAGAGAGAGAGAGAGAGAGAGAGAGAGAGAGAGAGAGAGAGAGAGATTCAGATTCTTCAGGTATCAGTTTTAGTTTAGTCTCAAAAGATTTCAGGATTTCATGTCTCCGTCTGCCTGTCTCTTGGTGAGGAAGCTTCCTGGAGAAGCAGCCGAAAGCTCCATGTGGAGGCCGACAATCACAAGCCTGCTTCCAAGGGAATGGCTTGGCTATTTCAAAGCGAGTGGCCGGGAAGCCGAGAGACAGGCAGACGGACGCTGCGCTCGCTCTTGTCTTACTTGCCGATTGAAAACAGCACTGAGCTGCGGGGAGCAACAAACTCAAGAGCTGAAAGAGGCTGAGGAGAGGCAGGGCCAGGATCGGAGTCAGCCAGGGGGAAAGGGAGGTGTGTGGTGCCACTCCCCGCTACAAGCGCAGCATCCGTCTGCTCCTCTCTTGGCGAGGAAGCTTCCCAGCCGCTTGCTTCAAAGTAGCAGAGCCATTCCCTTGGAAGCAGGCGCCCCTGGGGCTCGTGATTACGGCCTCCGCATGGAGCTTTCAGCCGCCTTTCCCCGGAGCCCCGAGGCATAGCAGCTGCCTGCTCCTCCCTCTCTGCCTCCCACCCGCCCTCAGCCCCACATCGAAGTTTGGGAAGCATCGGGGAAAGTTTGTGCACTGCGCTTGGGGCACGAAAGCAAGCCACCGCTGTCGCCAGCATCATGGCGAGCAGGCCAGCTGGGTAGGAGGCCGCCCTACCAGCTCCCTGCTCCTCTGGCAGCTCGCTTCTTTCCCGGAGAAGGGATGGCGGCATACAGCAGAAGTGCTCTCGGTCCCAACAGGGAAGCTCCAAACGTGCGGCAGTGGTGGGGATCAAGTAGGGGTGCTGCGCCGAGCCAGGGAACAGCGGCTCCCAGCAGAAAGGAGCCCAGGCAAGCCACATGTTCAGAGCTTCCCTGGCAGCGCACTTGGCCTCATTTGGCAGCGCCATGCGCTGGCTGGGGAACGCTGTCTTGCCATGGAATGGGCCGGTACCTAGATGTCCTCCATTAAGAACACCCGCCCTCTTGGAAAAAAGGGGGGCATGTTTGGGGATGCGGATGTGCAGTGCAGGGCGCATGTGCAGGGGAGCATGGGGTGCGCATGCACAAATGGGGGCACACATTGCATTATGGGTGCCGGCACGCGGAAGCACGAGGGTGCTCGTGCGCTCAGACTTTTGGCCATCACTGGTATAGATAGAAAACATGGAAATTGTATACAAGAGACAAGGAGCAAAGACGAATGGAATCATCAGATGGAACAAAAGGGGAATTAGAACTGAGAGACCAGCAAAAAGAAGATAACAAGGAGGAGACACTATTAAAATTAATAAGAATTGAGGAATTAAAACAGGGGGAAAATATTTTAAAAGATTTTAAAAATAAATGGGAAGAACGGGAAGAGGTTTGCAGGGAAACAATAGGATTTAGAGCAGAAAGCTTTCAAATTAAACAGTGGGAAAAGACAGGGCAAGGAGAAAAAAAATATATTATGGATTCAGAATATAAACTTCAAAGTAGATGGAATAAAAGACTTAAGAGGAAAACAGGGGAGATAAGTAAAAAAAGATAGAATTAAAGGATAAGAGATAATGGTTAAGGGGAGAAAAAGTTAGATATGTTATGATTATATATTAATAATTGTATTAATATTAGAATGATATAGGCTGGACAATTAGCTGGTATTTAATATAAATAAATATTAGGATAAACATTACCACAATGAAACTGGAAAATTATGAATGAGAATTCATTATTAATTGGAAATGAGAGGTTGAATGATGGTATTATTAAAAGTGTATAAAATATGACTATTGTATAGGCAATGTGAAAGTAGATATATTTATGTGTATTAACAAACTTTAAAATATACAGAGAGGAAGAGTTAAATAATGGGAATATGAATAACAAAACAGAGTATCATGTCCTTGAATATAATACTGTGGAGTGTGGGGGGGGGGGGAAATATTAGTGGAAGTTTAGAATGGAAGCATGTAAAGCAATGTATTCACAAAGTCAAATAAGTTAGGAAAAGAAACATGAAAAAGAGACACAAAGAATGAAAATGGTGGTAAGCTTGAAATGTTAGGATGTAAGAAACTGGTATTCAGACAGTATACTTTCTCTCTACTTCCCTCCTTCCTTCTCCTCTTTTTCCCTCTCCTTCCCTCTCCCCTCTCTATTTCTCCTCTCTTCTTCTCCGCTTCCCTCTCCTTCCCTTTCTACTCTTCTCTTCTCCTCCCCTCCACTTCCCTCTCTCCTTTCCCCTCTCTACCCTTACTCTTTCTCCCCTCCCCTCCTCCCTTCCACTCCACTCCATTTCACACTCTCTTTTCGTTGTTGTATATAATATTCCTAATACTTACAGGATATGGTGTATTTTCCAATTAATATCTCTTCCAACTATAACTATATAACTTCTTAAAGTTACATTCAAAAATGAAAGAAACAGATTTAATCACTTAAACATGTGTTATTGATAATAATCATTATATTGATTAATCTTCACATTAATAATTTTACACATCATCATTCTAAATATATATATATATGTTTTTCTTTCTTTTTCATAGGTTTTATGTGTCTTCTCTTTAGCCAGGTTCTACCTACGTAAACCAAGATATTATGCAGCCCTAGTTCAGTGAAATCACAATTCACTAGTTTCTGGGCTTTTTTTTTTTTTTTCTCTTTTCTGGAAGCCAGCAGACCCTTTGCTGCCCATTGGGAGACTAAGATAGATCTATTTCGGCCTTATAAGGCCTCATCAGTTAGCCACACCCTCATCTCATGTATCCTCCCTGTAAAGGTACAATATTTGTTTTTCTTTCTTTTTCATAGGTTTTAGGTGTCTTTGTCTTTAGCCAGGTTCTACCTACATAAACCAAGATATTATGCAGCCCTTTACAGGGAGGATACATGAGATGAGGGTATGGCTAACTGATGAGGCCTTATAAGGCCGAAATAGATTGGGCATTGGTCTTACCTTAAATGCCAGATTTCTTGAGTGGGGTGACATTGATCAGATGAGGGTTGTATCAGTCGGATCTGATGCTGGCTGAGTCATAATTTTTGACCACTCCCCTTGCTCCTCCCCTTTCATGCTCAGTTTTGACGAAGGAAGGCCACCAGAAGTATCTCCAACAGGAACCACCGTTATCAGGAGGAAGTAAATCGGTCCAACGGGACAACTGGAAAAAAACTACTGAACAAGAACAATAAACTGTACAGGCACTGAGACAGAGGGAGGGGCTGGACAATGTCACCCCACTCAAGAAATCTGGCATTTAAGGTAAGACCAATGCCCAATTTCCTTGATGAGGGTGTGACATTGTCCAGATGAGGGACATACCAAAGATTTGGCTGTCTCAAGGGCGGGATGTCGAAGGGCCTGGAGAGACCCTTGCATGATGCACCTGCTGCAAAACCCTCCTGCCAAATGACGCTTCAGCAGAAGCAAAGGTATCTATCTTGTAGTGACGAATAAATGGCGAGGGGGTAGACCAGGTGGCTGCCCTACATACCTCCTCAAGGGAGGCCTGAGTCGCCCAAGCTGCTGAGGTAGCAGCACTCCTAGTGGAGTGGGCAGTAATGCTATTGGGAACAGGAATCGCCTGGGCCTGATATGCCCAGGCGATGCAAGCCCTGATCCATCTACCAATTGTGGCAGAAGAGACTTTGAGCCCTAGGGAGCCTGGCAAAAAGGAAACAAACAAAGCCTCTGACTTCCTGAAGGGAGCAGTCCTTTTGATATAAATCTTTAGGGCCCTCCGTACATCTAAGGTATGTCACCTTCGTTCCAAGGCATGAGAGGGCCGGGGACAGAAATTGGGCAAAATAACCTCTTGGGCCCTATGAAAGGGGGAATTAACCTTGGGAATAAATGAAGGGTCCAATCTCAAAATAACTGTGTCCGGCCGGAAAACACAGAGATCCTCCCTAACTGAGAGGATCATTCCTCTCCGAAATGCGACGGGCTGAAATTATGGCTATAAGGAAAACCACCTTAAGGGTGAGAAAGCGAAGATGAACCATGCGGAGGGGTTCAAAGGGAGTCTCAGTTAAAGCGTTAAGGACCTTGGGCAAATCCCAAGTAGGGTATCTATGAATCGAGGAGGGCCGCAAGAGCCTGGCTCCTCGCAGGAACTTTTTTATCACAGGGTGCTGAGTGAGTGGTCGTCCGGATGGACTGGACAAGGCCGTAGACAGGGCCGCCACATGTCTCCGAAGGGTACTATGGGCCAGACCACGGTCAAACCCATCTCTGAGGAACTCCAAGATCTGGGCAGGTGAGGCTGAAACAGGATCTATCTGCCGGGAACGGCATCACCTATAAAAGGCGAGCCAGGAGATATTGTAGAGTCTGACTGTGGATTTACGTCTGCAGGCTTGAACAATGTGAATCACCCTATCTGAATAATTGTCCTGCCTTATTCGGGCCCCTTCAAGTGCCATGCAGTCAGTTGGAGCCACTGAGGGTCCGGATGAAGAAGGTTCCCCTGACGCAGTACAATCTCGTCTGGTGGAATCCTCCAAGGGTGAGATGTGGAGAGACTGACCAGGTCTGCGAACCACAGACGGCGTGGCCAGTGGGGAGCCACGAGGATAATTTCTGCTCTGTCGGCGATGACCTTCCGAATCAGGGCCGGAATCAGAGGCAGCGGCGGGAAGGCGTAGTGAAGACCCGGCGGCCAGGTGAGACGGAGAGCGTTGACCCCTTCCGCCCCTGGCGTCGGGAACCTCGAGAAGAAGCAAGGAAGCTGATTGTTCAGGTGTGTGGCGAAGAGATCTATGGCCGGGATGCCGAACCTGTTGCAAATCTGATGAAATATGTCGGGATGAATCTGCCACTCGCTGTTGTCCACCTCTGTCCTGCTCAGGAAATCCGCCTGTGCGTTTTCCGACCCCGCAATGTGGTCCACTCTGATGGAGAGGAGGCGTTGTTCTGCCCACTTGCCCAGGCGAAATGATTCCTCCATGAGGCGCTTTGAGTGGGTGCCCCCTTGATGGTTGACATATGCCTTCGCCGCCATATTGTCTGTCAACACCAGAACATGACGGTGTTGCACAAACTGGTGAAAGTGCGTGAGAGCGAGACGAATGGCCTTCAGCTCCAGCCAGTTGATAGGGTTTGCGAGGTCTGATGCAGACCAACGGCCTTGAGCCACGTGTGATGCAAGATGAGCCCCCCATCCGTGAAGGCTGGCGTCTGTAGTGAGTACAAGTCGATCGTGATTCATGAAGAGACACCCCTTGTCGAGAGAAGGCGATGTCCACCAACCTAGCGATCGCCTGACTGAGAGTGGAACTTTGTTGACATGGTGTGAGCTTGGCGTTTCCTTTGAAAGGGAAGCAGGAACCACTGCAAGTGGCGAGCGTGAAGGTGTGCCCATGGAACGATCTGAACGCAGGAGACCATCTTGCCTAAGAGCTTGGATAAAGTGGCCAATGGAACTGATGGAGTTCTGTGAATGAGAGCTACTAGGTCCCTGATGTCTGACCGTCGTTCCAAGGTTAGGTAGACGGTCCCTTGGGCTGCGTCTATGATGGTGCCAAGATGGGTGATCCTGGTGACTGGCACTAACTGACTTTTTTTGTAGTTGACCAAGAACCCATGGTCGTTCAGGGTTTGAATCGTGAGGTGTAGATCGTGTAAGGCTTGCTCTTGAGTGTGAGCCTGAATCAGAATATCGTCCAGGTAAGTCTGGATCCTTACCGGTTGTTGTCTCAGGTGAGCCGCCACGACCGCCAGGACCTTTGTGAAGACCCTTGGTGCAGATGCCAGTCCGAAGGGAAGAGCCCGGTATTGAAAATGCTTTCCTGCATAGCTGAATCGGAGATACTGTCGATGCTTTGACAGGATGGGAATGTGAAGATAAGCCTCCATGAGGTCTATGGAAACTAGAAAATCGTTGGGACGAATCCCTTGAAGAATAGAGGTTAGTGAACACATTTTGAATCTGCGATACACTATGTATGAGTTGAGATTTTTTAAGTCCAGAATGGCTCTCCACCCCCCTGACCGCTTTGGAACTACGAACAGGATGGAATAATACCCCTGTTTCCATTGATCGTGGGGGACCTCCTCTATGGCATGAATCTGTAGTAGGTGCTGAACTGCTTGGTTCATTAATTGACGTCTGGATTCGCTTTTGGAAGTTGGACATTGAAGAAAGCGGGTTGGAGGCCTGGAGAGAAATTCCAGGGGGAGGCCAAATTTCACAACTGAAAGAACCCAAAGGTCTGAAGATGACCTTTCCCACCTGTCCGCAAAGAGGGACAGGCGACCCCCTACTGGAGGATTTGGCAGTGAGTAACTTACGACTGCGGGACTGGCGGAAACCAGAACCCCAAAAGGACCGTTTGGGCTGGAATTGTCTGCTCCTGTCCCGAAAATATTGACGGTCCGAGGATCGATAGGATCCCTGAAGATATTCCTGCCTGGAGGGGCCTCCCTGGGGGTAGAAACGAAAGGAAGGCCTTCTGTAATATGGAGAGGGTCTTCTTTCAGCCCGTTTGTATGTTGAGGGCAAAATTTTTCGCTTATCCCGTGTCTCTACAAGAAGAGGGTCAAGTGATTCCCCAAATAGTTTGTTTGCAGAATATGGAGCTGCAGCCAAGCGCCATTTGGCCTTAAGGTCAGCAGGCCATTGGCGAAGCCAGAGCATCCTGCGGGCTGAAACTGTAGAGGCTAAGGCTCTGGATGCAAATTTGGCTGAATTCAAGGTTGCATCAGCCGAAAATTGAGTGGCAGCAATGATTTTATTAATATCCTGATGAAGGCGAACCTCACTGGGGGGTACCCTTGCCTGTAACTGTTGAAGCCAAAGGATGGTAGTTCTATTAAAAAATGAGGCTGATGAAGCTGATTGAATTGCCCATGCTGAAGCCTGATGGTTCTTTTTAAACAGAAATTCTAACTTTTTGTCTTCTGGCCTTAGACCTTCAGAAGTATCCCCAGTTACGTATGAAGAAGAAGAGGAAAGGGCCGCTACAGGGCTGTCTACAGGTGGAACTTGCAAGAGTTGAGCAAACTTTGGAGCAACAGCATATTTCTTATCTGAACCATGTGCAGATGCCATGGTTGCAGGCCCAGCCCACTGTTTCTTTACCACGTCTATGAACAGTTGTGGAGTTGGTACATAACAAAGTACAGGGGGGGCTCAGAAAAGGGTCCCTGTAGTCCACCCTGTTGGGCCTCCTGCATCTCTTGAAAATATTCATCTTCCTTTAAGGCGGCTGTTAAGCGAGCCTTGTGCAATAAAGACTTGAATTTATTAGGGGGAAATAAGCCTGTAAAGGCAGGTTGATCTTGGATTATCCCCTCATCATCTGATAGGTCAGAATGTCTCTCTTCCTCAAACACAAAGGCTTCACTAACTCTGGAGGCTGCAGGAGAATGAGAGCCAGTAAGGCTGACTGCAGGAGAAATTCTAATACGGGCAGATCGCTCTGAAATAGCAGAGCCAGAGTGGTGACCATGAATATTGGCTGCCATTCTAGAAGCAATGGCCTGTTCAATCAGAATTCTCAATCCTTCTGGCACATTTTTTAAAGGATCTTCGGGGGTTAGCACAGGCATAGAGAATTCACCTGTTGAAGCAGCTGCAGCTGCATGCCCACCAAATACAGGAGTTGCAGGGGTCATTAATTGACTTGCAAAGGGGTTTTGCAAATTGCTTTGGTCTTGTTGAAGAACATTACCCTCTCCCTCCGAAGACCAGGCCTGGCTAACAGTTGAAATGGGAGGAGGGGGGGTTGATGGGGGGGGTCCCCTTACCAGGCTCAGTTGCAGGCACCTCACTAACTTGCTTTTCTAGAGATTTATGCCTCTTTGTTAAATCCTTCTCCTCAGGCTTAGAAAGGTGCTTACGTTTGGAAGTTGATTTCTTCCCAGTGTACATAGTATTTTCCTCCCCATGGGAAGAGCGATCCGCCATCTTTAGTATACTCACTGCGACCACGATGTCGACTGGAGAAACAGCTTTTGGTTTCAGTTTCGCCACGTGGTTGAAATTTGAGATGGCAACGACTCTGGCGTTAAGCACGATGGCTGCCAGGTCACACTGAGCAGGAGGAAACTCTGCTCCAGAGGTATCTGTCTAGGCAAGCCTAGAAACGGACCTCCTCAGCACCTCCACAGCCACGATGAGAAAAAAAAATAAAATAAATACTGGCTGGAAATACCACAGGGAGAGGCAAGAAGAAGCTTGCTGCCCCCCCCCCCAAACTTGCAGACTCGTTGGTGGCAAAGCGGCAAAAAACTCCTTTTAAAATTGCCGCGGCGCTTCAATTAACCACTCTACAGCTGATCAGCGGTTTTGGGATCGCTGTAGCGTGGGCGGCGGCCCGATTTGGCGATTTCCCTTAAAATTAGGGAATCGCTATTATTGTTGGTGGTATTGTGGTCTAGGGCCCCTTAAACAATCGTTGGTGGGATAGATCAAAAAAATCCCCCCAAAAAAGGCAGGAAAAAGAAAAAGGAAAAAAGTTCCCTTTTAAAATGGGGCTTTCAAAATGGCCGCCGCCAGGTGCGAAGCAAAGCCTGGCAGCTCAGGATGCTCTAGCATTTTGGCAAGACCGGCAGGCTACAATAGAAGGGGGGAAAAAAAAAATACATAGCCTGGTAGACCGGTACCTTAGAAAAATTTAAAGGGGAAGTAACAATTTTAAACTCGAGAAATAAAAAGGTGGTCAAAAAGACTTACAATTCTGTGATATTGAACAGACCTGGGCTGTATAGCCAGATCTGTAGGAGATGTTTCTCTCAGGCCGACTGAGTCTAAACTGAGCATGAAAGGGGAGGAGCAAGGGGAGTGGTCAAAAATTATGACTCAGCCAGCATCAGATCCGACTGATACAACCCTCATCTGGACAATGTCACACCCTCATCAAGGAAATCTATCTTAGTCTCCCAATGGGCAGCAAAGGGTCTGCTGGCTGCCAGAAAAGAGGGGAAAAAAGCCCAGAAACTAGTGAATTGTGATTTCACTGAACTAGGGCTGCATACAACAAAAGATAATATGGTGGACTTTAAAGCATATTGGTTTAGATGTTATTGCATACTTGTTAATATTTATATGAAAATAAAAATGTTATGTAAGAGATAGGGAAATGGAATGTAATAATTATGAATATGTTTATCTGTACTGAAATTATGATACTCAAACACCACACCATCCACATAATGATATGTATACATTTTTTAAAAAATAAAAACTTGATGGAAAAAAAATGGCAATGCAGGGCACTTCCTCCCAGCTGAAATTCTGGAAGGCTTGGAAAGAGATCAGCTGGAAGGTGTAAACAGAGTAAACCGGAGAGGATCTCTCAGTCTTAGCCCAAAGAAATTTTCCAACTGTTAGAGTGATAGGTTTAGGAATACAGGTAGGTCTTGATTAGTGCAGTTAATGAATCCTATGAAATGATCTCATTATTCAAATTCACACTGCTAAAAGTTATATTGTTACAGAAAATATAGTAACTGGTTTTAGCTTGACAGAAATAAGCAATGCCATCGATCAATGCTATCAGAATCAAGGCAATTGCACTACCCCTATCATAAGTTGGGCCTTTAAAAACATTTGGGAAGAGCGGTAGATCTGATTACTCTCCCCCCCTTCCCCACCAAATCCTGGCTCTAACAGCTTATTGTATGCCATATGATGGTGGATTTCCAGTAAAGCATTTGTAATCTATTCGTTTCACTTTATCTTCAGATGCTGCTTTATAGTAGCAAAGTGGGAGAAAAATAGTTTAAATAAATGGAAGTCTGTCGTGCTTGTCTTTTCATATCAAATCCATTTTGTTTCTCTTACCTTCCTTTTCAGCATATGCCTGACTATCTGCAATGACTTTGCGCAGCTCTGGACTGTAACGTGTTCCTTCTGGAAAAATCACAAGGTACATCTGTGGAATTAAATATATATAAATATGTGTGTGTGTGTGTGTGTGTGTATACGAACAGTTTTATTAAGTTAAACAGTTCAGCTTCAAGACTGGGAACTGAATAACAAGCAAGTTGTAAGACTGAGCTTCAGTGAGGTTGCTCCAGTCAAAAGTCTCAGTTTTCTTCCAACCCTGCATCATAACACAATTACTTTGTGCTTTTATCAGTTCTCACAAAATGTAATTTGTGAAAGAATGCAGAGCTCACCCAGGCTTGCTGCGCTAAAGCAAAACTCAATTCATTTAACATTAGCATCCCATAATGAATTATTTGGACAATAAGACTAAATTGAAACTATTTTCTTTTTCTTTCTTTAATGTCTTATTCTCTTTGCTGTTTAATAACACAAATACACTAATACAATTATGCATTAGTCATTAAGTTAATTTTTATGAATATAAACTTACATTAATATTTTTCTACTACAGGTAGTCCTTGACTTACAACTGTTTGTTTAGTGATGGTTCAAAGTTACAACTGCTCAGGAAAAGTAACCTACAAACCATCCTTGAAGTTGCAATCAGCATAACGTCCTCACAGTCACATGATCACAATTTGGGCAACTGGCTCACATTTATGATGGTTGCAGCATCTTGCAATTTGTGACAATTGGGGAAGCTGGATTTGCTTAACAAACTATGTGATTGACGTAAACGCCATGCAATTCACTTAATAGCAGTAAAATGGTCATAAAATTGGGTCTGATCCCGTGATGATTTGCTTAACATTTAGCAGCCAAAATTTGGTCTCAACTGCGGTTGTAAGTCAAGGACTACCTATCCTGTTGCTTAGGGTTGTTTAAGAGAGAAATATATGACCCCTCAACAGAATTAACAGGCTGGTTTAAAAAATGAGTTTCTTCAGCCTAATTTTTCTATGTAAACAGTTTTACATCCTAATGCCAGGATTTTTCCTGGAAGGTACAGATGTTTATCCTTCCAGTAACCAAATGAAGAGAACTGCTTAAAGCAGCTCCCTCACTTCTTAGAAGGAAAGTATAAACCAGCATTTGATTGTGGAAAAATGAATTGACTTCTAACTTTTTACTTTTGTGTCACCTGATATAACAAACATAAGGAGGGGGGGGAGGGAGGGAGAGAGTGGGGGAGAGAGAACTTGTATACTGTACAAAATGAAAATAGAGAAGCTTACTGGAGTTTTTGCTTTCATCTGGATATACAACTTGTTCCTCATTTTCTTTTCATTAAATATGGGACGTCGGTTTACATACATTCCACCGTGCTAGTATATAAACAAATTGAATATGTTTGTAGCTCTTAATAATTCATGAAACAGTAGTTTGATACTCCAGAATAAAAAAATTAATGTACCAGCATTTGCCTTGCTGAAGGGTAAGCAGCTTTCTGTGCTCTTAAATTTGCTTTTGCAATGATAGGAACATGCAGATGTTTTTGCTATTAGTTTATAATATTTTTTATTCAAAAAATAGGAAATAGAAAAATAGTTTTTTTTCTACAAGAGTTGATTCTATATGGATGCTAGATAAAAGAAAACTTCTCTTTGTGGGAATCTGAACTATGATTATTACTATGCCAAAGCTCCAAAGTATTAGGACTATTATATTAAGCAGTGAAAAATTCATAGAGGTCCAGAATCCACCTATTACTTTTGCCTCAAAAGTGAGGCTCTAGCCAAATTTTAAATTCTTATCTAGATAATACAATGGAGGCTAGTGACAAGCGATTACCTGTGTCAGACTTTAATGAAATAAATGTTAACATTTAGATAGATTTCTTACATGGGAATCCTAATTGTGTTTGGTTCAGTGGCTACTTAGGCTGTAAATGATGCCAACTTGCCTGACTATAATGAATGTCATGTGGTTTACTTCTAAATCAAAGTAAATCTAATTAGGATTGAAATATTTAGCACTTTTCAGGGCATTAGCCAAGATAGTCTCTTGCAGCACAATGAAAGTACTGTAGCAACTTTAGCCATTTATTATGGCAAAAATATTCACATTAAGGTAAGTTTCAAATAACAGGGGAGGGTGGATTAGTAGGGGAGCAAACTCTGCTTGATTGGGAATAGCCTGAATGAGACTGAAATACATTTCTTTTGTAGCATACAAACAAAATCAATTAACTCTGTAAATAAAATGGTCTTCTATTG